TACCCGTAAGACGTGTGGACTGTAAAAGTTTTATTATTCCTTCTGGAAACCCTTCACTGCAAAAAGATAACCTTTTCAATGGTTTAGTGCCTAAATCGTTTGTTTTCGGTCTTGTTGAAAGTGCGTCATTCAACGGAGCTTATAAAAGAACCCATTCAATTTCCAACATTTCAACATTTCATCGTTAGGCATTTCAATAAATGGTGAATCTGTACCATTTAAACCAATCAATTTGTCCTTTGGCGCGAATCCAAGATTTATAGAAGCATTTCTATCGCAGTTTTCAGGCACTGGAAAATGTATTACGACACAGGCAATGGCATTACGCGTGAAGATTTCCCAAACGGTTTTGCCCTGTTCGGCGCGGACTTTACCCCGATATGTGCAGTGCATCCGAACATTTTAACACTGTGCAAAAAGGAAACCTGGCCATTGACTTACAATTCTCGACACCGCCAACTCATGCAGTTAGCCTTGTGTGCTATGGAGAGTTTGAAAATATAATACAAATCGATGGAGAGAGAAATGTCGTTTATTACTACATTGGATAAATGAACACCTCACAAATATGGACCGCTTTGAAATCCGATCCGGTAACAGGAAAAAATTTCTCGGTGTTTTCCAGCCGACCGTTTGCCTAAAGAAATCGAAAGCTACCCAAAGGATTTATCGCAAACACGGATGTAAGCGGAGGGGACCCATTGGGTTGCCTTTACTTTCCTTCAGAAGAAAAGCCGAATTCTTCGATAGCTATGGACAACCACCAGGGCGATATCATAAGTTCTTTAGAGATTATTTGAAACATTATGATTGGGGTTTAATAAACGTCAATTGCAAAGTATCTGGACGGATGTATGTGGACAATATTGTATATTTTACCTCAGCCATAGAGTGCGAGGATATAGCATGAATAAGATTGTAAACATGTTTGATGGTAATACTGTTGAGAACGATAACAAGGTATCAAGTTTCGTTAGCAGACATTTTCATATAGAAACTAGTGTAACCCTAAACGATAGCATTCAGTCAAGTATAAAATTTGTTGTAAAAGCTTGAGCCGTTTATTATCAATAAAATTTTCTTTGTGTAAGCTAATTGCCTGTGTTTTCTATTTGCATATTCTAATGATAACAGTCAGGAAATTGATATCAACTGCTCAATTTATTTAAACAAAACAAATCTTTACATGTCAAATTTTAATAGTCTATCCAACGTAAGCGAGTTTTCTTTAGTGTAGGTGGCTTTAGGTGTTGTCATTTTCGTTCTTGAGCCTCTGTGGTAGGCTATTCCGTCTTCTTCATTGAAGTTTCCATTTGAGCTTCTTCCCATCTTACATCGTTCCGAACCAAATCACGAGGAATGTTTATTTTGATAAAACGCGAAAGAATTCTCTAGAACCTGTAGGATTGAAATTCTTTCTCCCTCTTACGGCGTCGCTAATGAGGTCTGATATATTTGATTGAGGGATAATAACACCGTCAAGTTTGACTTGTCCTGAATCATCCCAAGTTATTATATCTGGTTTTGTTTTGAGACGCTGCAGTATTGCTGTTGCGCGTTCACGCATCGTCTTCGGCACACTTTGTACAATGACGGAGTCAGCTAATATACGCACTTCGTTGTTTATTACCGTGTTTCTTTCTTCCCCGTCGGTTGTATCCATCACGCGTACTGTGGGTATCTGAATATCTTTTTGTTTCTTCAAATTAAGGAATTGCTCAAAGTTTGTGTTGAAAAGTTTTTGCCTTTGATCGTCACTTAAACCGTCTTGGTGAAGGATGTGCGAGAGTTGAGTATCTTTTGCATCATGTTCATCGTAATGGCGAAACTTCAAATTTTGCTTTTGTTCATATTTATTATAAACGTCTTCAGGTACTAAAATCATTCGCTTGGCATGCTTCATTATTTCAGCAAACTCCTAGTACGTTCAAAACCGGCGGTAGGAAGGCGCTCAGTAGATTGCCTCCTTTTGATTTAAAGTTTTTCTTTTTAGCTCTTGAAATTCTCTTGTTCGCTAAGGCTCTGAGATGTTTCTTATACCTCAACAAGCGTCGTTTTTGACTCGCAGATATCGGTACAGTTCCTTTAACACATTAACTGCGCATTCACAAATGCACAACATGACATCAGATGGTCCATGTTCGATGATAACCTTTCGAATTTTCGGCTTAGATTTTGCAAGTACTTGCAGGTACGGAAGATTGCTCCTAATTCGTTTAGACATAATGTTTAAATGATTGTTGATGTCGATGCTTATCACTTATGTACATAGACAATCTGCTTTTCACCGGGCAAGATATTTGTTCTGACATATTGTCAGATGTGAGTTGATGCAAATCGAGCAAAAGATAGCCGTAAGGGCGGCATGTGGCGTCTTGAAATGACTGCAGAAGGTAATTCGTTTTCTTAGGGTACATCTGCCGTGCCAATGTTGCGATACCTAGCGAATCTCTGGGGTTTTTAAAAATGATCATGTAGTGGGAATTTAAGCTGATTGTTCGGGATTGTTTACCAGGCGGAAATAAATTTTGTGTTAGATACATGACAGAGACGCCACGGTGATGTGACCCGCGGGTAAATAAATCGGACATTCGTTGATCGCTAGAACATTCTGACATCAAATCGTCAACGACCACTAAAGAGTTTTGACAACCTTCCAGAATATCAAATAAGTTGTCCGGGAATCCTTCGACGAAGCAAATGTTTGGAATTTTTGATTCCATTTCACCAAATTCACTTTGCCGTTCACCATAACAGTAAATAATTTTATTCGGAACAGGATAAAAAAGTTCATTTAAATTATAAAGCATCGACCTAACCAAATAGCTTTTGCCCGACTGACTTTGACCACACACATTAAAGTTGGCAGGTGTTCTAAAACGTACGTCCATTGTCTCATAAATAAAAGCAAACATGCTCTGCTTTCACTTTTATAACCACTCGCGCTAGTAAGCATTTTGACATATTCAAAGAAAGACGGTATGATTCGACTAGCTTGGAGATGGGGTATTTGTAAAATAGTGAACAAAGTGCACACAATAAGAATACATTGGACAATGAACAATTTTTATTAAATATTTTTCTAATTATCTACATGAATCAAACAACAAAATCTCTTTTGATTACATATGAACACATCATACTTTAGCAGATATTTATGACAAAAATTTTAAAAACACTTGAGGGTTTACTTTAAAATCCTCACAAGCATAGGCATGTCTTTTAATCGTTCATTCATTTTGTAACTACATTCATAGTTCGCAACATTCATAGTTCACAAGAGTTGTTTGTAACTTTTCAATTTTCCATAATGAATTCCTTGCTGTCTGTATGTTTTTCCTTATGGCTTGCTCATAAGACGAATAAAGGTTTAAACTATTGTATATAAATTATACCAAGTTGCTATCATAAAGCAGGGGGAGGAGAGTTTAAATGAGCAATACCCATAAATGAATACATGATAACAACTTGGTATAATTCTATAATAATTTACCTCTTATGAGGATGATAATGCTAATTTCAACATGTAATTACTTGAGCACTTGCTCAAATGCTCATAACTGCTTCAACACACTTGCTCATTTGCCCACAAATGCACATTGCTACATAAAATGTCTCATTTCTAAAAAAGCAGTGCCGGCGAAATGAGCTGCAGATATTGTGGAAAAGTATTTAATCGAGCTTTCAACTTACGCAGACACGAAAAGAATACTGTCCACTAAGGGATGAGGAAAAATGTCTCAATCAGATTCAGACAGTCAGAATGCATTTCGAAGATAATGTTTCTACAAGTTCAACAGATGAATCTGAAAGTTCAATGTCAATAGAAAATGAGGCTGAAACTGGAGAAAACTGATCCTTGGATACCTTTGATAGAAGAAGCAAGGGAAAGTAATGTAGATTTCGATGAGATGAAAGCCTTGTGAACAGTGGTCTGGATGAGCAGACAGCTGAAAATCAAGCATATTCTAACATTCTACCAAAACTTCAAAAAGAATTGGAAAGTATTTATATGCAACGTCTTATGTGGATAAACCAACTGAAAAAAGATCCCATCCACAGAAAAATAATGCATACAAAGAAAGGGTTTATAGAAAATGACGACTTTGATCCACAGGAAGCTATGGAAGCAGCTATTGATAGAGAAAGTTTCTCATCAACAGACTTTAAAAGAGTACAGCTTTGGTGAGATTGCCAATGATGAAGAAGATTAACTTTGTTAGATGAATTCGTTTCATAATAACTTGTATCTTATTTTGAAGTGACGTTGTTCAATAAAATCTTTTCATTTTCAGTTTAGTGTGAAAATTACTTTAATATTGCATAGCTGCAAAAATCCTCTGCTATTGTTTCTATCTCTATCTGTTTAATGGAAACATGCCGAGAAACCTCTTAGAGCTATACATACTGCGCGAAGCTCGATGTTTTAAGAAATATTTTGCGCCTTCATAAGATGAAAAGGGAATTCCCTAAAGTGATGATGCAAAATAGCTCGAATAATATTACGCTTACGGCACACTTCTACCTATATACGCGACTTTCGGCAGTAAACCGGTTATTTTAAGCCTGAAACAACTAAAATTGTTGTGCCACATCGCATCTTGAATGCATAAGTTAATAAATTTAAACCACTATAGGCAGATAGGCTTGTGGTATCAATTACTGCAATATCAATATCAAACGCGCGTTGCACTTTTATCAGTTGATTGCTTCTTCTTGGTTTAAATTCTCCTAATACGATCTCTAGCAACCAGTAAAACAAACGCATACTAAAATAAAAATAATGTTTGTAAATCTAAGAAGGACAGAGTTAAAAGCTAGGATACTGCACAGATCTTACCCACGCCACATTATTCAAGGTCATACTATTCAATGGTAATTTATAATTTACATTTGCGAGATGGCAACGAAGGTCACATCTCAAGCGCATGTGAGTGTATCTCAACCACTTACGAAACAGAGAGCCTTTGTGAAGATGCAATATCAAACATGCAATCGAAGGGATGGCCTCGCCATAAGCGTCGTTTTATACCTTCAGTAAGTACCGTTTGTCTTTTTTCTGTTCCTTAGAGTGTTTGTATTAACTTTAACAGAGGCGTCGATTTTATTTTTTAGAAAAATGTGATCACTGTGATGATTATCTTGTAAAACCCTCGTGTGGGCATGTATCGTCTCATAAAGACCTTATCGAGTAAGTTTTAATTCGTTTGTAGTTGTCGTAAAATGTTTTTCTATGTAATATTACATCGCTTACGTATATGTATACAGAAGTGCTAACATGTAAGCAGTAAATTCATACATGTTTCTTATATTTCATTTAGAACAATGTGTAATGGTTTGACCTTACGAATCGAACAGGAATAAATAAAAATATATATTTACAAAAGCTTAACGACTCGTGTTTCAAGTTTGTTGTTTGACCTTACGAATCGAACAGGAATAAATAATATATATTTACAAAAGCTTAACGACTCGCGTTTCAAGTTTGTTCTTTTATCGAAACAAATATTTTATGCCAGTCGTTACAAGTGTATTTTAGTATCTCAAGTCCATTAACGGGTGGCTTGACATCTTCAATGCTTTTCATAAAATCTTTGATCACAATCTCTTCGGACACATTTTCCAAGGCATCATCAAAATGCAACAACATACGCTCGTCATGCTCCATCATGAGACAGTCATGCTCACGTTGAGAGGATTGATCGATCATGCATCCATTGCAGTTCTTATTTACTTCAGCGTTTATCATTACAGCAATTTCTTCAGCATAGCAGTCTAAAAGTTTATTTTCTAACAAACTTTGACGTACAGTTATTTCATTCTTTTGACTCCAAAGTCAATTTGTTCATTCTTAATGCCAGATCAATGTCTACATTCAATTCCATTTGTTTCAAGAGATAAAATGTAAACCTTTCGATAAAGTATAAACTATAAAATGCAATTACCTCGTTTTCTACAGTTTTTACCTTCGATTGACAAAAGGAAACGGATCTAATGTTACTTTGTCAATAGCATGCAACTTCCAGCTTGTCGTATTTCCGATTTTCACGCCTTCCAATGCCATGCCTTGTTTATTAACCCCTATTTCCGATTGACATGCGCGCGCGATCAACTTCAGGGACTGGAAACTAACTGGCACGGGTAAGAGCTCCGTGACAAAAGTGTGACAAAGCTGCACGATAACTACTTGTTTAAACATCTTTATAAAATATACTGTTTTGATGATAATAAATTCAAAAGAAACTTCACTGTCTTGCGATTAACTTTATTTAATTTTGTAAAACACACATGATATAAGCTACAATAGTTCAGATAATCATGGTTAGTATTTATATTCCATTAAATTGCAGTCAAAAGTAATGTGAATATGTATATAAAACTATTTGTTCGTGTGATTATAATTATCTTCAATTAATGATTTTTTGCATTGAAGGTGAAATATGCTGATATGTTGTTGAAAATAGAAACCTTTACGCCATGAACTGAAGAGTTTAGAAACTGAAGCAAAGTGCTGCTGAAGCTAAGGTAAAAAATATCTCGAAATATGATTCGACAAAATAAAGCGGGCAACCAGTTGTGTTTATACACAATGATAGGAATTTAATGAATACGAAGTTGTTAAATAAAAGTACCTCAGTCTCACCTGAAATCTTTTTTTAATTTCTGTACAATCAAATGAAATCGCCTTTACTTTTGTTAAATATATACGTCGTTGTATTTCTCTTTAATCATGTGAATGAGAGTGTAATGTTACCATTATGATAAACTTGACCAGGCTGCTGAAATTGCCAAAGTTATTACTGGTCTGGAGAAAAAGCATGGCCAATGTACAAAGAAGAATATGCTGCCTTGATTAGTGAAGCACAAGCATTAAAGACCGAGATGACGGCTGTTGAATCAAAGTATTAAACAGGCGTGGCATTATTAAGGAGTTTGTCTGATGAATGCAGTCGTTGGCAAGACCTGGCTGCTTTTCAAGCTCAAATGGGAACCATTGTCGGTGATGTAATGCTATCGTCAGCATTTTTGAAACATGCAGGTAATTTATGTTTATTTGTCATATTAAACCAATGGTTTGCTGCAATAATAATTTATATGACTAACTTGCAGGATATTTCGATCAGCAGCCGTCAAAATTTGTTTCATAACTTGGAGTCATCTTCAACAAGCTGGTTTGGAGTTTAGCCATGATCTTGCTAGGACTGAGGTGGATATTATATATAGGAACTCATTAGGGTTTTTTTAAATATCGTATCCGTTATATACCTATGTGGATCTATTATTTTAAAATGTGTGTTTGTTATTGTTAAGTGTGTTTGTTAAGTTTAAAGTTGTGTGTTTGTTATTGTGGGAAAGAACAGTGTTAGATTTTTCTTGCTATTTTTTGTTTTCATGTTGACGTTAAATTGTGAATTGCTAGATTTTTTCATTGTTGTTTTTAGATGGGTTTTGTTGAAAATGTTCATTTGGCTCCACAATGTTGAACATTGGAAGAAACTACACACTTTGAATCCTCATGCAAATTTCCGTCTTTCCTTACTATGGAAATTAATCCTAGGTATCGAAAATTTCTACTTTGTTTTTCATCTTTTCCTAAAAATATAAATATGTTTGTGGTCATTGTTCAACTTTATCCTGTGTAATATCATATTGTATTTCTGCCATTATTTTCATTGTTTCCTAATTAAAATTTAATGGTTTTCATTGAGTTCCTGTGAATTTATTGCGAGCTTCCGTGTTTTGTATTCGAACCTCCTCCTGGCATAAGCAAACCTTTTCCGAACTTTCAGTACTATTCCTGTATCGCGCATGTGCAAGGTAGGTAAACATTACGGATACTGAAAATACATTTTCCAACAATATATTAGCACGATCCTGATATTTTGTAACAAAGGATATTTTGTTAGCAGAACTTCATGTTACATTTTTTACGACATGGCAAAATATAGGATTACCGATAGACCGAGGCGTACATTGTTTATCCAATGTACATAACATAGTTGTTATTTAATACTACACTTTTGTCTTACAAATATCACGTAATATCAGTTATTTACATCATTGATATTTATTTAAAGCCAACCGAACGAACACGTTTGTATTTTCTGTTGGCATGGTTACATGCTATTGTACAAGAACGTTTACGTTATGCATATTGGGTTGGTCCAAGCATTATGAGTTCAGTGAGTCTGACCTTAGAGTTGCCTGTGATACCATTGACACGTGTTGACAATTCATCCCAAGTAAGTTGGAACTATCTTCATTTTATTATGAGATATATGTAAAGCAGCTCTTGTCCATTTGATTGGTCAGTTTAATAGTTAAGACTTCGAAAATATTTATATAAAGTATTTGTATTGTAAAACTGTTATACTGTTTATAGGGTCGGACAAATATATCTCCTGACAAAGTACCATGGGATGCATTGAGGACACTTCTTACTCAGGCCATATATGGAGGGCGCATCGATAACGAATTTGATCAGGTGAATACACGATATGATCATGTGACCAGTGTAACGGCTTACTGGCTTTGATTTTTTGTTTCAAACATTTTCAACTGTTTTCATCATTGCTCCCCTTGTCCTTAATTGTTTTAAGACATAAGTACATTTGAATGTCCTTCGTTTTTGAATTTTCGCCGATAATTCATATATGGAGGTAAAATGCAAATAAACTCACATATCAATATCTTTTGTAGCGTTTGCTTTCTTCCTTTGTTAATCGATTGTTCACAGTCAGCAGTTTTGAATCAGATTTTCCATTGGTATTGGATGCTGATGGTGTTAAAGGCAAAAATGTTAACATGCCAGATGGAATACGGTAATTCAAAATGTCTTTACCATAGAATGTTAAAACTGAATTTCATCATTTGAATGGATCATTACGTCATTCTTTGTAAGACGAAGTTTAGCATACACATTAACGTGCCATCAAAAATGGCATAAAATGACGTGATGTGCCCATATATAGATAAATTCTAACCTTTTTTACGCCGTTTTTACCACATCTTAGGTAGCATGTCGTGTTTTGTAATAAAATATATCATCCATCTAAAGTGTGCGAACACTTCGATATTACTGTCCCTTCGCCATGTTGAAATAAAAGTTTTGTGTTTATCATTTAGACGCGAACAGTTTGTACAATGGACAGAAAATTACCAGACTCTCAATCGCCATCCTGGCTTGGATTACCAAACAATGCTGAAAATTATTGCTTACTGTTCAAGGTTGAAAATGCCACTTTCATATTTATTACTGTCACTATGTCGTACATACATATTAGTATAACGTATCTTTCTTTTATCTTATATATATTAGGTCAGGCACTTACCACCAAACTTCTGAAGATGCAAAATAGACGATGAAAAAGAATTAGCTTACTCTCCGGGATTAGACAAGTCAGTATATGCAGTCATGTAAAGCATCTTTTCGTTTTCTGAAATCGTCATTTCAAAAAGTTATCAATTCTCATTTGATCAAAAAAGCAAACATTGTCCTTATCTATTAAATATCACTTATTTTTGCAGAAACCAGTCTCTGATCTCTAATGATACTCGTCCAGCATGGATGAGATCGTTATAACACAGCCACTAATTGGTTGGCAATGGTACCGGAGGTGCGTCTACCCCAGTCCAGTAAAGTAGCCTGCCTGTAGATTTACTCCCGCCATGTCAGTAGACACCAAATTTTTTGGCTGGAGTTAAAAAAGTCAGGCTGGCTACGGTACTGCCAAAAGTAAAATAACTGACCAAAATTTAGTTCTTTCTTGAGAGCAATTCTGGACTTTATTTAGGAACTTGTTGCCTTGAAACGAACTAATGAAAACATCAAAGATCCTTTATTCCGATTCTTTGAACGCGAGGTAAATTGTGACGGCAAAAATCACGTTTTAGTATAAAGTGTCGTTATTATCTTAATGTTAATACTTTAAAACGAGAATGATCAGAGATTCCTTGCAAAGTGAACTGTGAACAAGTTCAAACAATAATAAATCGTCTAAATCAGTTTGGTCAATTTTTTGGTAAAAAAACCTGCAGTATGATGTGGTTTGTAATCTGTTTATCTTTCTGTTTCGTTGCGCAGGTAAATGTTGGGATAGGATTGCTTACAACGGTCCGTAGTGATCTACAAAATGTTATTGGCGTTTGTGAGCAAGTAAAAAGCCAACAAATTATCTAAGGAATGTTATAAGTGATTTGATGAAAGGTACGACTAAAATTTCTCTTTTATTCACAACTGTGCACAGAATATATTTTTGTCAACGAAATATCTCCGTAGCACGGAATCTATTTTTAATATATAATTCTATGTTTCTCGTATTTTGTTGCTATTTATAATTTCATGTTTGATGTTTTAGCTATTCTTCCCAAAATTGGCGTCGTTATACAGTTCCATCAGGTCTTACTGTCATTCAGTGGATTGCTGATTTCATGACCGTATACAACAACTTCAACAAATTTCTACCGTTTCACACAGTGGATCTAATAAAGAACTGAAGGTATGACAAACGTCCACATAAAAACCATATATGTCCTTATCATTTTACGCTCGTTGCTGTTTACTTCTTCACTTGTTTATAATTTACGCTCGTTGAAACTTTTAAACATCAATGATCGTTGAAATACCATCAATTATTTATTTTACGTTAAAAGTTGTTCCAGAAGCTCTCATTCATCTCTTATTAAAGAATTCCGACATTTGTAAAAGATCTTGATGAAAACTTTTTTTGTTACCTAGAACCTGCGTGTTCATCTTGGATGGTTGTTTGTTCCTGAAGCCTATATAACAACAACCAGACAATATGTTGCTAAGCTAATAATTGGTCTTTGGAAGAGCTTTCCTGAAGGTACCCTTTACTCTCAAATCTAATTCATCTTGAGTAATATTTGCAGTCGTCTGAATATATTCAAGTTGTTTTAAACATGTTTTTGTCACGTTTAGATGACTATATCACGTGGGAAGAATGAAGAAATAGAACTTGATGACTGCAGTTTGGTATTGTTATTTAGAAGTAAGATTAGATTGTTACATTATGCTATTTAGCAATACTATATTGAGCGTAAAAGTCAGTTTAGAAGTTAATGCTTATTCTGCATGAATTTGAACAAAACTGTTTTTCTTGACTCAAATTACGTGTGTGAGCAATATGTTGATGCTCTCTTTACTCTACTGATTATTTTTTTGTTTAGGTTTGAAAACTTCAAAGATGCAAAATGTGTGAATAATCGTTTTGGAGCTTGCGACAGTTATCTAATAACTGACCTGCCATTGACAAGTCTTAGTTGGATCAGGTAAAACAAACATTTGCTTTTTGTAATTATTTATTTCAAGAGAACATGTGTTGTAATTATTATTGATGTTTTGGTGATTTCCAGATTTTCTGACGATGATAAACTTTCAAACAAGCAAAGGCAAGTGTCTTTAACTATCAATAAATGGTCTTTTAGAAAAAGCTAATTTGAAGTTAGCTAGTATTTTTATAACGTCCTTGAAAATTTAATGAACATATTTTGTACTTCTGTTTAGGTCACACTTCCTGTGTATCATAATCAGAATCGTCGCGAAAACTTCTTTTCACTGTCGTAATGGAATTTGTTGAGCAGGGGGTGATCACCTTTTTATGAAAGAGGGTTGCTTTCTTGGCATCTTCAATGACTGGCTGATATATGATTTTAAACTAATTTTTAGTTTGGCAATTGCTTTTATTGACTTAGCTAGTTGTTGTGAATCTTAAATTAAAATACTGAGAGGCGTATCTGGAGGTTATGCTAGTCAAACAACTTTTTTCGTTAAGAACATCTTTGAAAGACACTATTTTTCGCTTAACGTAGAAGCCAAATCACCCATTGTGATATATTCCACAATTCTACCAAACATGCCGTTGTGTTAACCTGATTTACTTGCTTGAGTCATAATTAAAATACTTTCAGAGAGGCGTATCTGGAGGTCATGCTAGTTAAAAAACTTTTTGGTAAGATAGTGTTAAAATAGTCCACTTTTTCGTTAAAATAGTCCACAGTTTGCCGTGTTAAAATAGTTTACTTTGGTATCGTGTAAAACATGCCAACAGTTAAGTGCTTTTACACAACCTATTTATTGTGATTATGATTTGAAAAGAGAACTGTCTTTGACGTTTCATGATTATCACGAAAACAAAGATGAGACCGTGTGGACTCAGGAAGAATTACGGTTTTGTCTCTTTCAGATCCACTGGAAGCAGCTCGTTCTTAGTCTTTGTAGACATAACGCGCGGATCATTGTCAATATTATTTAAATGTAGTTGTTAACGATCATTTTAAAATCTGTTGCCACGTGACTTAAAAGTAACTTCAACTTTATTTGTTGTTGTGTTTTTGGTTTACGCCAGCGAAGGTTCAGAGTAGGCTATATTTTTTACTATTATCTTCACAGAATAATGATTATGCAGAAGGGTCTTCAGGTGTACAACGCTGTGTCCTCGTGTCGGCCATTATTTATTCCAGCCAGATGATTAAGATTTCTCACTTGTTTCCAACAATTAAAATTACATGACGTCAATGCCAATAATGAATTCAAGTATATTTTGACTTAAGAAATGACTTCGGATCATTTTAAAGACTTGGAAAGTCAAAAACCTAATCATCTGGCTGGAATAATGGCGGCCACCATGCGCGAAGCACGACATGCGCGAGGACAAAAACATCAAAGGCTCCGACACGAGTGACTCTTCTGTATATTAATAGCGTGCAATGCCCCAGCATCTTTATGATATACTTTTATTTTGCGCCAGATGTTAGACAGGTTGGTCACGTGTACGCATTTGCTTTACATTTGATGTCATCATACAACAAAGCAGTTCCATTTTTCACCAATTATGAAAATATTTCTTGAAACAGATTCAAGAGCATTCCCTTACTTCTGTTGACAAAGCCTGGAAATTTTAATGTTTTTGTCCAATGGTTAAAAGATAAAACATTCATCTACACTTTAAAGCTGTAATCATGCCTTGTTTATTGAAAATAACGAAATTAATGTTTTAGTGATGCAAATTAGTTACGAAATCATTTTTAATCGTCAACAATAGTGCTTCGTTTAACATTACAAAGGAAATAAAACAAAAGTTGAACAAAATAATTATGACATATGAAATAATTAGGACGACATGTAACTACATCGTACAAAAATTACTTAATTATTACATTATATTTTTACTGAATCAACGATAACATTGGATGTCACGTGAAGTTCACGTGAAACGTTAAACATAATAATAAACTTCAACTTCATCAGGTGTAAAGTGTTCTGAACCTGCAAGAAGAGCTTAGGTGTTATTACTACCTCAAGCTGTAACCTAGATGGAGGACATAGGTGTCCTCAAAACAGGTGTAGGAATTTGTGTTTTTTTTGTTTGCGTTGTTTGCATGTAGAGGTCATATCCAATCAAACGTTGGTCCATTGTTAAGGTGAGTATAGATGGCCTTGTAGCCGTTTTCATAAACCGGGGATCTAAATGGACTTAAATTGTCTGTGTTACGAAGTGAGAAAATGTAACTGCCGGGACTTCTTCGATAACCACTTGAACCTGTAAATATAAATTTATGTTTAAACTGGTTGTTACTTTTTATATTTGATGGGCACAATCAACATTTCTCTCGTACTTTATTTATTAGTAAATGTTTATAAAATTACTAAACAAGAAGTAAAAACCAAATCATCAACAAATTTAAAGACAAAAATTAAACATTCACCATTATAAACATACATTGAATTATAGCAAAACTTACCACCCCAACTTATCGTTGAATATCCACCAAAAATAAATTTACCAACTTTAACTAAAGTTATAGTTTTTCCTCGATTGTCACATCTTGAATGGAAAATTCTTGAATCCCATCCATCAAAAGTGGCTCTCCAACAACAACCCAATTTTTGAATGAAAACCAATTCTTTAATTGTTTCAAAACTTTCTGGTTCGTTCATCTTTGATATTGTTGAAGACGAAATATCACCTAAAAGATTTTGTTCAGGTAGATTAGTTGACAAATGTCAATTAAAATCGTTTATGGCGATTTGGATTGTTGGAAATTAACTGGAAAAAATAGCGCGTGACTTTCTTTTATTTCAAGTTCAAACATAGATGTACGTGATATCAGAATCCTCTTGCATTTTTTTTGAGCAACAGAAATTTAGCAAACAATGTAAAGTCTTCAATAAAATTTTAGACTGTAAAATGCATTACCTGAAAATAAAAGATAAAATCTGTCAAAGGAAACATTTAAGGTTTTTATTTTATTCTCAAGCTTCGATATGCTTACCTTTGTTCAGAGTTTGTAAATCTAGAAATATGGTTTTTATAAGGACCTAATAAACTCTCTTTATTTCAACCGTGCATGGCCAATAAGGTTTGCATTTGCTCTGATTAACCTCATTCACAGTTCATACACAGCACTTGAAAATCTAGCTTTTAATTTTAAGTTTTTTTTTCTTCAGTCAATGCCTTGCCTTTAGTTGTTTTTTATCTTCTTACATTTTCAAGTTTATTTTTGTCTTTACGATAAACCATCATTCCTTCAATACTTGGAACTTTTTTCATAGTGATATTATCTGGTACAACAATCATCTGTTAAAGTAAAGATTTAGCCTAAGTAAGTGAAAATCAACAACGTACTTACATGTATACTTTTAATAAAAAAATTGACGTCAAAAATACTACGAATATATGTGCGCTCGTGCAAGAATTAATTTATAGAAAGTGACACGTATTAATTGAAGAATGATGAAAGAAACTCGAAAATAAATTGCATATATTATCACTTACTCCTTTGTAAAATAATGGTTTATTTTTTGTACAACGACCCTAGCAAAATAAAAGACACTTCAGCATTTCTGAAGGATGTGTAGTTTCATCAGACAGTGCCGGATTAACTAACCTAAGGGCAAGAGAGCAGCAGTCCTGGGGTTTTCATATACTTCAAGATGGATTTAAACTTTGTTGCTGTAGAACAAAAAGAAAAATATTTTGTTTATTGTCAAGGAAAAAATTAGCTACAAAACATACTAAACTTAGCTTTTTTATTTGGAAAAATAACCGAAGATGTGGAGTCGCTTATGCTGCCCATAGTTTCCAAACTCCACAGATTTCGTTTTGCCTATGGCTAGGCACTTCTTAATCCGGCCAGTCCTCAGATTTCCAAAATTTCTTAAATCACAGTTTTTAATAACCATTTGGTTGATTATAGATGGATTGATTCATTTTTTAAATGTTTGTATGACATATTATATTCATCATTATAATGCCATGACAGGAATTATACACATGCACAACATACTTTCACAATACTTCATTACTACCCAGTAACTTGTACCAAACAGCATTTCCATTTTCTATGACTTTGTAATCCATACAATTGCTCCATATTCTTTTTAGGAATGCGAGGCGCACCCAAAACCATGTATAAACATTTTTCTTTATTGTTCCACCATTCGTTTCATTACATTCTTTTAAAACAATAATTTTTCTTGCCATTCTTAGGACCATAACAACCACAGCTAAATATTATTCAATAATACGTAATATACGTTGAGCATGTATTTTACTAAATATAACTAATGAAGCACTAGCTGCTCTATCAAAAAGCGTTTTGCTAGTTTTAGCACTGACGGACATTAATTTAGCAGTGAACATTAATTATGAGCTAGTAAAGTTTATTAAGGATGAGATAAAAATGATGATTATCATCTAAATCATTTTTTTTTAAATATATTGACAAAACTGGAACTCCTTTCAACATTAGAGGAAACAAACTGAAAGAAATACTTTTATGTGCATAATGTATCACCAAAACAGTTATCATTTAAACATCCAAACTATTTATTATTGACTTTATCTATCCATACAGTGCACAACAGTATTTGAAAAGATTTAGGCCTGTGTTAAACTTGTCAATCTATACAGTAAGGTCTTTATCTGACATAAACCTTACACTCATGATTGAGCTCAGAGACTGAATTTTATATTCTTAAAACAAAATAATTTACAGACAATAATAAAACCTTTCTGTTGTCACAGCCAACTAATGCCGTCGCTCCAAAGTTTATCCCAGAAATTTGATTCGTTGTGCTGTAGCTGAATTTTGACAAATGTTAAAGATGAAATTTTTTTTCTGCTTTTTAGTAAACAGAAGTATTTAATTTTAAAGAACCCCCATTTTATTAAAACAAGTTACTTCTACTTCATTTTTATATCCTTGCGTACAGTGGTACTGGCGGGATTTCCCTTGTTGATTCGAGGAGGAGGGAGGAGGAAGAATCTCAAAAATTACATCTAACATAGTACACTTACTTATTTACGTAAAGGTTGATGATAATGTCATCATTCATAAATACACAAAATATGTATTTTAAAGTCTAAACGTCTAGATGAACAGTAAATGTGCGTAAAATTGTTAGCTTTAAATAGTTGTTGTTACCTGAATGTTCCAGAAAAGTCAATTTGAATGGGAAACTTGTCGTGAAAAGAAAATCCCCACGGACAGGGTCTGTTTAAACAATCGTTCATTTTGCCTACAATCACAAAAATTATGTTAGCAGGATACATTTTTAGAGATCCTATCATTGATATGAGCTCGAAAATCAAACCATTTCTTTCATACCCATCAAAGTTTGTTCTTTCATTTATATGCCAAACCAAATTTTGAACAACGAAAATTTGTTGTCACAACGTTATCAGTGATCAGATCTTTTACAAATTTAACGTCACCAATCCCAGGTGATGTATTTGTACAGCCTCCTTTGTTGTAAATCATCAAATTTTTCAATTTTCGTGGATTTTGAAATCTGTAAACCTGAAATTATAGACATCGACTAAAATTTTTTTTTTGCTAAGGAAACTATTTGCAAAGTTAATCATTTTTTGTACCAATGAGCTTGAGTTGTCTTAAAATCATCTTTAGTGGCCATTTGTACTCAAAATCAACCATTGGAGCCTCTCTAATGAACTTATCCATGAGGTTCACCAAATGGTTCCACTGTCTTGTTGTTTGATGGTACTGTCCATGTAACGGATGTATTTTGTCGACCAATCAACATGAACCCACCACCATCAGTTGTCATGTCACAATAAACCTTTAATGAAAATAATCTCATCGGAATTTTAAATATTTGTTCACGCCAAAATCAATAAAAATTTTTAAATATATTTTGTAAACGAACATAATAAGTGAGTTGAAATAATGTTGCTCCATAATCTGTGAAAAATAACATTGATCTTATATATTCTTACCCTTTTCGGTTTATTTTCTCCAAGTGTTATCCAATAAAATCCATCTTTAGCTTTTGGATCTTTATCCAATATGATTGAGCAGTCGTATACTGGGTCAAAAAATTCTCCTGGAGAACTTGAACCTGTCAATAAACAATTGCGGTTATATAGATAATTTAGGCATCATTGAACTACTGAATTAAACCTTGATATCATATCTACCGTCTATTGTTCTCCATAAAAAAACACCGTTAACATTTGAACATATCAAGAGTTTAGGTATGTTTGTCGATCACGAACCAGCGTCATCTTTCACTGCTATTTTTATAACATAATCCTGGGTCGTTTCCTTTAACCACTTTGATTTTCTAAGGATAATTTCAATTTCTTTATTAGATCCGTATTAACGTTTTCGACGTTGAACTTATTATTTGCCAAAGTATCGGAAAGAAAAGTTAGTTAAAGATGTTCGTTAAGTAATTTTGTTTTGTTTTAAATACAGTCGGTTATGTTAGGCTTTTGGTTGGATTTTCGTTATTTTTGCCGTTCAATGAAGAAAATATATTAGTTTAGCCATTCTTATGTCAACAGACATTCAATTAGGATAAAATTCAAGTTCCAAGAAGCAAAACAATGTTACTATTGACTTTGTTACCACAAACTGAGGATTTCCTAAGATCCCAAGTAGGAGCGCGACAAGGAGATACAAGCTCTTCATCTTTTTGTTCTCTTCAATATGCCGTATGGAAGCTTTTGTGACCGCAGTAAATCTGTTTGTTTTTTGTTACCGTCCAAGGTGACGACCTCAAGGTGATAAGCATTCATCTATGGGGTGCCAAATATGGGTTTTTTGATTATCATATAACGATTTTTTGACACCATTGTTAGAACTATGTTAGAATTAAATTTTTCTAATGACCACATCTAGTACTTTCGTTACGGTAAATAATCAATTTTAATACAGATAGTTTATCAGCAAATAATCACGAGAAAATAACGAGTAAATTTAGTGAAATCAATTAACCAGATGACCGCAATTTGGTTGTTTAGCGAATAAGCTTTTTGGCACGGTGGCACGGATTTGATAAACAATTCATTACATTTTGGTATAGTAACCATTTCTAGAGCAGCATTCACTTTGGTTATCAAATAGTACGTGTAATTTTACCTAAAAAATGCCTAACTTCTATTAAGCCTGTCTCTATCAAACGCCTGGGAGCCTGGTTGCACAGAAGCCTGGATAGCGCTATCTATTGGATAGCGAAATTTTCAAACTTGTAAAAAGTGTTTATATTTTTACACAAAAGAAATTTTGTAATCTTCGAAACAATTTTTATTTCAGTGATTGTGCACAGTTTCGATCGTATATTTTTCTGTTATAAAAGATTTTATGAACGTTTCGAAAATTTGCTATCCAGTGGATAACGCTATCCAGACTTCGTGCAACCTGCTGGTGTCTATTAATGAAACGCCCTCGTGTGTGAATTCGATCGTAGTCGTTATCTGTAAAGACCCGTGCAATTGACTTTTGCTGAATCACACGATTGACACGATATTCTCTCTCGCACGTTTTAAAAATGGCGGATACAAGTAAAAATTTTATTAAAGAATAATTTCTTTTTTGTATGATTCTCCTATTTTAATTAAGAAATAAACTAACTTACAATTATCTTGACTCCTTTTTGTCAATTGGAAAAAAGAAAGGCAAGAAAAGACAAAACCATGTTACTTACAACATTTTTATCTAATGACACATCAAAGGGTAATGCGAACAGCGTGGTGTATGCTGCCAAACCAAATACTTCCACAAGTTGGGCAGATGAAAGTGAAGATCTTCCTGTTCATGGTACGTATTTTTATTCATATGTTAACATGGTTTAAATCACAAAGTGACCATTCAACATCTTGATCTTGTTTTGCTAACAAATTGTTATAAATTCTTTTATGGTAAGTATTTCTTGTAGACTCGTGTTGTGTTCACCGAACGTTCTCTCTCTATAATAGCTTTTTATGACACGATTTCCATGCTGGATAACGAATTTTCAGGCTATGAAATCAATATTAAACTTTTGTGTTTGTAATGGCTTTCAACCAGATTAGGTGGCCCAATGCCAAGATTAGCTTACGTCAGTATTCAATGACATACCTAGTTACACAACCAAGTAATTTTGGACTTCAATGCTAATATATATATGTAATAGCATGGTTTTGAGTGCAATTTGGGAAAAACATGCACAAATAAGTTTTTCAAATGCTCAAAATTGCACAAGTTTGAAGGACTACGAGTGCTTGTTTTCCAAATTGCACGCGAAACTATGCTATTCAGTATTAATAATATACATGAAAAATTTCTCAATTCCCTTGATTTTTAATTTCAGCATATGTACATGTCAGCTGGCCAGTTATTAATATAAACTGGCTCATATTTTAAATTTGTTCGATCAGTATTTTCACATCACCATAGCTTTCACTCATGCAGCTAGAACAAGGTATCTTGTTTTAGTAGTGTTTGTATTTTTGTCCAGAAACTTGCAAATGATGAACTGTTGGCGGTAAGCCAAAGAAAAATCTACTTAAAACTTATGCCAGCCACTGTAATTGCTTAGTTTACAATAATGAAACTTTCCTGCCTTGGAAATATTTTTATCTTGTTTTGCTCTTATATTACTTCTTAGTTTGACTAAAAAAGAAATTTGCCCTGGTGTTTTGTATTTTTCCACTTGTATTTAGGAAAAATTGCACTGCTCTAACAAATCAAATTGAGAAATTTTTTTTGTATGCTATGATAAAATTTCCTGTTTTAAAACCACCTTCAAATTTGCCTTGGCACTTTATTGATGTGAAAATACTTAACATTTGAGGGTTGCAAGTCACCTGCTTTTCATTGTGAGCATTTAAATATTATTTTTAGTCTAAAATTCTGCCTTCATGTTAAGTAAAATCTAGTTAATGCATAATTTCCAATCAGTAAGCATCTCTCTATTTTACATTATATATTAAAACATTAAACATGTGTATTGATAAAATTATTTTATTGAAGGAAATGTTTCCTGGACTGATCCTTATGCTGAACCTAAAAATTACAGCGTTTTGTCTTACCTACTGCTCCACGATCTGCAAGGGCTGGTAATATTGATATCTTCCATACCTAAGGGTCCACCATACACAGCTTTTTCTTGGTAATTTACCATGCGATGTGGATGAAGATGATATTTTCACTTTTTCCAAAGTGTACAGGTATTGCAGTTTGGATTCTTTTTTATGCTTACAGTTCGTATTTATCTTTTTGAAAATTTACTAGTTCTTTACAAATTCATTGCAATTATCTTATTATCTAAATTTATAATTATTTCATAAATCAGCGATGATTGTTGATTTGCAACCAATTTTATTAGATTTAACAAACAATAATCACTGCCCACACTGGCTGGAACCCACAATAGCATTGATGAAATGTTCTTTAATCTTATTGTATCTCCTACATGGTTGATGAAAATCATCATTTAGTAAGATTTGTAACTCTTCTAAAATTTTAATCACCCCAGCTCTTGGGGACATCTTTAACCAGTTAAAAATGTGTTCTTCCTGGTTATCAGGTTTTGTGAACCTTCCTTTCTCTGTTTCATCCAGCTCTGTCCATACAGTAGAGCCTTGCATAAACTATTAGTATGTTTATACTATATCAATTCATATTTAAAAGTGACCTGCTTGTTGCATAGAATCTATTTGTTACATAACATACTATTTTTCATAATCTCTGCTTAAGAAGTAAAGTTTTATGCGTAATGTTAAATTTTTAGGTGAAAGATGTTAGTTTGCCTCGAGAATCAGAAAATGGAAGGTTGAAGGGTTTTGGTTATGCAGAGTTTGATGAAATGCATGTTTTTAAAAGCTTTGGAACTTGATGATCGGGTATAAACAACATTTGTAGTCTATGTGCATTTAATGTGTGTGTGTTTACTTGTGTGTTTATCTGCATGTGTAGTTTCATTTTAACCAGCATCTGTTGCTGCTTGTGTATCTTCGCGCGTTTACCCTGTGTGTTTACCTGCATTTATACCAAACAACTGCATTTTTACCTGTGTTTTGTACCTGCATGTATTTTTTATTAAGAATCTACATTATTATATTTTCTTGGCTACATACTGTATATTTTCATTGTTTTTTAGTGTTTTCATGGACAAAATTTTTTTCTCGTTAGCCATTACAAGTGTTTTGCTGCATGTTAACCATACTAAAAACATTTAACATCACACAAACTTATTTTTTTGTTAAATATAAGTAAAGATGCAGAAAAATATTTTGGCTTTACCAATAAACTTACATAAATTTTAGACTTTAAAGGGAAGGCGTATTCGCGTTGATGTGGCTGGACAAAGTCAGGGCACTGGTTAGTTGTTTTCAACGTCAGATAAAACTTTTATAACAAATTTTATTTATATCAGTTGTCATTTTGTTTTGTATAATGCTTTGACGTGAGGAATATTTGGTAATATGAGGTTGTATTTGGTGATATAACGTGTGGTAAAAGTTATCTTTACTTTAGGTATTGCTTTTTACTTTTATTTTAATTTTTAGATAAAAGAAAGACAGCAGAGTTCGTGATCAACCTGCTGAATCTGATGGGGATTGGCAGCTAATCAAAGAAATTATGCTCCTGTTGATCGCGATTCAGGAATATGGACTATCGTGATCAGAAACGAGGTTTTGGAAATGGTTTTCACCAATGAGGAACGCAATGATGATGACAATGGCGTTCATAATGAAGAAAGGGATGATTATGGTGATAGAAGCTATGGTGGTCGACAGGGATATGATAGTAAGGATAGAGATGGATATAGGGTGGTGATTTTAGAGATAAAAGAGGAGGTCGTGATGGCAATGATGTCAGGGGTTATGGAGAAAGAGACAGACAGGGATTTGATGAGCGAAGGTCTTATAACGACAGGGGCTATGGTGATCGAGATCGACGATATGGTGATCGAGATCAAGTTTAAGTGGTCGAGGACTCCGGAGTCGAAATAGAGGATTTGGTGATCGAGATCGTGGATTCGGTGATCGAGATAGGGATATGGTGACAGAGATCGGGGTTACGGCGACCGAGATAGAGATATGTGACCGAGATGCAAGTATGCCGAGATAGGGGTGTATGGTGACCGAGAGGATAGGGGGTAATGGTGACCGAGATAGAGGGTATGGTGACCGAGATAGGGGGTATGGTGACCGAGATAGGGGATATGGTGACCGAAGTCGTGGATATAGTGATCGAGATCGGGGATACAATGACCGTGATCGCGGTTATTCTAACCGTGATCGTGGTTATGATAATCGAACATCAGGATATGGTAATGGCGATCGCGAATATGATGACCAAAGTCGAGGATTTGGCGAACGGGATGGAATCTATGGAGATAGTGGTCGAGGATTTTCGAATAGAGAGAAGAAATTTAGAAGTAGAGGGTTCAGTGATAAAAGATTTGGAGATCGAGAATTCAGTAGAGATGGAATGTATGGTACTGATAGAGATTTTGGTGGTGAAAGAGGTGGTAGGGATAGGCCATTTGATGAACGTGATGTTGTTAATGATTCTGGTGATCGATCAAAGATTCGGAAGATACTCAAGATCGTAGAGATGAGTCCAGGTACTTTTAACTATTTATTATAGTTGTAGTAGTGATATTAAGTTGGATATAAGGTGGTATTAGTTACCAAACTTCTGTTATAGTTTGGTGCAACCAGTGTGACCATATGTGCAAGTTTTGCCAGATTTGGTCGGATGAGCTTAAACACTCCTCCCAGGTTGTGAACTGCAACTATATATAAAGAAAGTGGGGATAGTCTAAGCTCGTCATTCTAAATCTAGTAAAAATAATGCATGTATTGCCATACTGAGTGTAACTCTACTGGTATCAAGATTGTGTGAAGAAACAGGAAAACTCCCTAAATTTAAGTTTCATGTTTCTGTAGACCAGACGATAAAAGAAGTGGTGATGAACCCAAAGATGAAAAAACGAGCACGTAAGTTCTAAATCAACATAATTTACCCTCAGCTGTCACTTCAAAAACTGCACATAAAACATAAGGCAATGTGATTTACTTTATATTTTCATACGCTAGCATTCTAAATCTACTAAATCCACTCTATTTTCGAAAAATTTCCTGCTTTTATACAGAAACATTTCGTGCAAGAAATTTACTAATTTTTTGAAAGAGGCTGCAGGATATTTTCCAACTTTTAAACTTGTTGTCTCTCATACATTTGTCTTTTATGTGTGTTGTTGTTTAAGCAATTTAATTTCTTTGTTTTCACTTCAACAATTTTTGTAAATTTTGTATTCAGTCAACTTACGTAGGCTGTTATGTGAACGCACAAACTAAAGTTCGCCCAAGTTGTAAACATTTTATGTGTTGTAATCTATGGTGTGTATTCCATACTTGTAGCAACTGAGCGTCGACGTTTACAACTACAACCTCGAACAAAGCCAAAGATGATGATGTTTCAACTGGTAATGAGACTTCAGCACATCGTCTGCTATATTTGGAGGTGCAAAACCCGTTGATACTGCAACAAAGAAAGGGAGATAGCTGCTCGTTTGGAGAAACTGAATTCTGAAAAAGAATCTCGCAGTGTTTTTGATGGTGATCGACGTCGATTCAAGTCTAACAGCAGTGAAGATGGGAAAAGGTAAGAAGTTTAGATGATAATATGTGTTTGTGTTGTATGGTTTGATATCATCTCACGATTTTTAGGAACGCAATGACAATTGTATCCCAAGTCATACGATTTTAAGAGATTTTAGTTTGTTGTAGCAATTTTCATAAAGATTGTTATTTGTGTAGTCGAGACCTTTTAACTTTTTCATAAAAGAGTAACGTGAGGATATTTAGCTGTCATTTGTGGTGAAATATAGAAGGGGCAGTGATCGCAGCGGCGATAACGAAGTATCACGTGATGGCTTGAAACCTGATCGCGGGAAAGGACGTGGTAGAGCCGGGAAAGAAGTAAACGTGAGCCGAAGATTGTGGAACAAAGAAATTTGAGGAGCCAGAAGTTAAGGTGGAAAGAGCTTTTCTTTTCATTCTATCTCGTCATCATTTTTTTTGTAATTGTTTTTATTCTACAATTTTGTTTTAGGTTTGGGCTGAGAAAAGTAAATTTTCAGCTTTACTTGTTGAGGAAGACGATGTTTGATTTGGAAAGTGATGAAGACGAAGAAAAGAGTACCGAAACATGTAAAACTGAAGATAGTTACAGAAAAGGAGTTGAGACGAAAGATGATAATGATACTGAACAAAATAAAAATAGTCAAGAAAATGATCGTGAAGATGATGCTAAACAATGCTGAATCTTTACGCAATTTTTAATGAACATGACGCAAAATATCTTAATTTATTTACCACAGTAATATTTTATTACTTCGTCACAATACTTTGCATTTAATGAAAATAATTTAATCTAGCGATCACCACATTACTGATCATTAATATGTGTATAGCTTTTATTGCTTATTGAGGTAAAATGGAATTTTTTTACTTACGTGAAATCAAAACATAACCGCTTACTTTAAAACAGTGAGGCTGGCAATAACCCCTTCCACCCTTCCAGTAATAATTTCATGGTTATAGTCTTAATTTATATAATGAAAACAAATGTATAAATATGATCTCTTTTCAGGTTTTGTTATCCTCCCCCTCCCTCTTACAAAGACTTGTCGCTAACACTGCTTTAAATTAACAAAAAATATTCTTTTGCAAAAGGATGAAGTCCTGCTTGTTCAGACATGAAAAAGAGATGACAGGAACTGAGAGTTTTGTCAATTTCAATGTTGAAGTTTGTGAAAAGAATTATACAAGACTACCCAGAAAATTGATGTGTTTGATTCTTTGCATACCTGGATGGCTAATTTTAATATTGGGTGGTCGTGGCTGAATGATATGATAACAATATTAATATTTATTATTTTTATAATAGTTTCTCCTACTACTGTAGCTTTTTCATTATAAATGCTCTGAAAGAGTCCTTCCGTTTCTCCCCCGCCACCAAATTATAGGAACCTTCGCCCTTGGTCTTACTCTTCATGACCACATCTAGCGCCAGATGTGCAATTTTATAATTGCATTTTAAAGGTCAAAAAATGTCGAAAAATAACTTTACTAATCAGCTGATAGCCTGATACCAGTGGCTAATAATACAGTTTGGAATTGGATGATGTTTTTTGTCGCCGTTTTCGATTGCCAACTAACTAAGAATACGTCAGGAGGGTCAGGATCAAAATAAATTATTTCCGGGGGAGATGATCATCACTAACTTAACAGTATCATACGAAAAGTACTTCTCTTCATTCAATTGACAGATAAGATGTAACTGGAATTCATTGTCAGCGTTAAGCTTTGAGCTTGTTTATACAATGCAAGCGTTGAGCGAGGAGTAGCTGTGTAGAAAGGACAGCCTGGACACAGGACACCGGACAGGTCTAATAAAATATGTCAATACCTGTAAAGACATCAAATGCTGCTCCAAATTTGATGTCAATTAGTCTAAGTTTCGATCCAAAGATTATATTTGTTTTAAACAGATAGGTTAGTACAGTATTTCACTTGTTACACACGACCTGTGTCATAGTTTAGCTTTTCATTATGTTGTAGCATTGGAGTTTAAGACTTTAAAGATCTCTGTTTAGGTACACATTGCACTTGTGTAGAGTGCGTTTTATTGAAACATCAGATATAGCTTACTAAATAAAACTGTGTTCCTTTTTGTGGTTTTCCTAAAACTTTTACCAGTCGGTTTGATAAGGCATTTCTGGAAATGTAAGATTAGTTTTACATGTTTGTAGATGTCGATCGTCCAGGATTGGTATAGTCCTGAAGGACTATTCCAAAACAGTCCTTCTCAGGACTATACCAACCTGGACGTCGACATTTACAAACAATGTAACGATACTCCTGGGTTCAAACCATTTACTTTAAGATTAGTTTTATCTAAGTTTGTTGTACCCACAAGTTTATTGATTACTTGCCAAGTATTCTACTATGAAATGTTTTGTCCCCCTCCCATGATAACAATTTATTGTGTTGTGGGCCCCACCCAAAAAATCACAGTGAATTGTTTTGTCCTTTGCTCTAATAGTCTCATATAAAATCTCCCTGAATTGTTGATTTGATTTACATCATTCAGGATCAGGATTTGGTGACTTAACTTCAATATGGCTTGCACATTATAATGGTGTAAAGAAGAATATTGCGATTAAGAAAACAAAACTTGATGTTTCTGACACCAAGAAAATCGACCTGATCAGTGTGAGTTTAACAACTTTTGTACTTTTAACTTTTGCAAAATCAAATAATCAGCTAAAATTAGAATTATTTTACATACACAAAGCAAGATAACTACATACATCTCAATTTTCTATTAAATAGCATGAAGTTTATCTTTCAAGAATCTTAGCTCACCTAACATTGTTGCAATGCTAGCAGCATTAGTTTGTGGTAAAGAATTATGGACTATTAGTCCATATATGGAATATGGTGAGCAACAGCTTATTATTATGAACAAAAATTGCTACATGCTTTTGTATTGACCAATTGCATTTGTCAAAAGTGTCTGAACATTAGCAGATTGACTAGAAGTGAACTTGCTATTTGGTTAATTGATCAAAAGCAGAAAATAGCTTCAAAATAATCTGAAAATTACCTCTCAATGAAAGCCATGGTATAATTTGCATTGTTCAGTAAATATATGTACCATAATCTTTAAATGTATAGGTTCCTGTGACAAAATAATAAAAGAAGGGTTTCCGCTAGGCCTGCCTGAGGCAGCTATTTTACTCATATTACGTGAAGTGCTCAAAGCTCTGGATAACATCCATAGAATGGGCTATGTTCATCGGTATATGCTCATTACATTTTATGGTGATATGACAGTTTTATTCTACAGCAATAATGCCACTTTTCTTTTCCACATAGTGCTGTAAAAGCACATCATATACTTATTGATGGAAATGGTACAGTTTGTCTTACTGGTCTTCGTGAATCTCATTGTCTTTCACCAAATGGTTTACAATCATGTGTATGACTTTCCTGAGGATGCTGTTGCATCTGTACCTTGCTAGCACCTGAAGTTTTAGAGCAGGTGTATAATTGTATCATTTGTTATAGAAGTCTGTTCTGTTTTAGCTCAAAGTTTGTTTAAAGAAAATGCATTGCAATCTTGTGTTGCGTTTAATTCCCCCTTATTACTAATGCAACGGTAAATTTCGTCAAAAGCCTTATATAAAATTACTCATTACTTGTTACTCATTACAGCAGTGATTGTATTGACATGGTACACATTCTGCACAGCTATAGATTTCAATAAACTGCATTTTTATTTCATCAGAACATTCTTGGTTATGATTATCGTTCGGATATATACAGTCTTGGGATAACAGCTGTTGAAATGGCTTGTGGTATTGAACCTCACAAGAATGTTCCTGCAACTCAGGTTACAAACACTTACTTACTACGTATTTTTACCCATATTTTTTGCATCTACAATTAAGTATTCATTTTTCATGGTGATTGTCCCTTACTGGTTTTATTTCTGCAGAGGTTTTCATTTAACCTCATTTTCATTTCTATCCTGATTGATTGCATATTTCTTTGTGTTCTTTTTCCTGTTTTAAATTTTCATTTACAGGTTTTGCTGGCAAGCTACAAGAAAACGATGTAAATCTTCAAAATTTGAACGATTCGCGTCTTTCAAGGACATGTGGTGCATCTGATTCAGGTGTAGGTGATAGTTTGGCGTGACGCGTCAAGGACGTCGCGAAAGCGTTGAAAATAAAGTTCTCAATGCTGTTTAGTGAGGTAAACTGTTTTATTCATACTAAATTTCTTTGCAAATGCTTAATGTTCATTTCATTACAGTTTGTTGATTGTTGCTTGCAAAAGAACCTAAGAATCGGTAAGTTTTATTTCTCAATAAACTATTGAATTTGTTTTTAATTTTCATTCTTTGGATTGGGGATATAGCAGTATCATATCATTTCACAACGAATTTCAAAATATGTTCATTTTAGACCATCGGCCCGTATGTTGCTCAATCATGCATTCTTCAAACAAGTGAGTTTTAAACTGATTTACTAATTCTCGAACCATGCTAGTTTAGTTTTCCTTGAACAACAATACATACGTTATACATACGTTATGAGAAATACATACGTTGTGAGAACTTTGTTTTTTACTAGAATTTTTAGCTCGCCTATGTGTAATAAAAGATAACCCAGCAAAACGAACTTTATCATCATTTCGCTGGTTTTATTGTAAATGCCAAGGGCTTTTATCGTTCTAACCTCTTTCCTCCAAACCAAACAGAGACACAATAGCAATAGCACACACACAATTCTATGATATTGTTATTCCACACATTGATAACAGAGCTGAAAAAATATTTTTCGCTGTATGACCACAAAGAAAAGCAAAAGAATTTCATTTCAGTTTCTCTTTAATTCTGACACCCATAATGTGTATCTAAGATTACCAATTATAATTTTTATTTTTAACTGAATACATTTTCCGATATATTTTCCACCTCTGATTGATTTTTATAAGTGCTTTTATTCTACCGATATAGCTACTATCGATATGAGTCAAATCCATTGCTGTAGAAGTGGGATATGGGGAGCCCCTTCTACCTTTGAAATGGGTAATTTTCATAATTTCATGGCTTCAGCTTCGTCAAGAGAGCCCCTTCTGATAAATTTAGTTCTACAGCACTGGTCGAATCACAAATTTTTCAAGCTCATTTTCATTCGAATTTAGTTCATTGTCATAATCTTTTAGGCCAAGGTACTTGTAAATTATGTAAATAACTTTTGTCTTTTCGATGGCTTAGGCTAAAAGAAAATCAAACGAAGTTTACCTGAACTGTTACTTCCTGTGCGTCCTCAAACTTTTGACAATGTTGCTATTTCCAATGGTAAGCACTGAATACTGATTTTATACTTTTATTCTTATTGACTTCTTGCATGGCAAAGAAGCATCTGATTGGCTAAGACGTTAGTTTGAAAGATTATTACTTCATACTTTTAGAAGAGATAAAACTGCAAACGTTTGCTCTGTGACCGAAAGTTTGGATAAACTCGATGTCAGTTCTTGGAACTTTTAAACTTTTATTTTCGTTACAAGTTTATAAAGAGAAGAGCGTGTTGTAATTAAATAAATCACTTAGTGATTTGAAATAAACGAAATTTGGGTGACGTGTCCTGTAAATTTTACTTAATGTTTATTCCACGAAGTTTATTTGGTGAACAAACTTTTGAACATGCAATAAAAGATCTTTAAGTAAAACTCAATAGTTCATTGATCGTCATTGGCTGTCTCAAAATCTTACTCGATTGTTCATTGACATTCATTGGTTGTTTAAAATCTTACTCGATTGTTCATTGACATTCATTGGTTGTTTAAAAATCTTACTCGATTGTTCATTGACATTCATTGGTTGTTTAAAAATCTTACTCGATTGTTCATTGACATTCATTGGTTGTTTAAAAATCTTACTCGATTGTTCATTGACATTCATTGGCTGTTTAAAAATCTTACTCGATAGTACATTGACCAATCTTTGACTGTTTGAAAATCGTACTGGATAGTTCATTGATAGTGATTGGCTGTTTGAAAACCGATAAAGCTGCATACCAAGGACATTGTGATTTCGTAATTTGAGTTTTGTAGTGAAGATATAGAATTGTTTTATACAACGTGTCTGTATAGGTATTTTGATTCAAATTGACATTGATGATTGTTCATTCATGACTAGCTTGTTTGCAGTTTGTTGCATTCTTAGTTAGACTGCACTTGCTGTAGTTGAAAATATTTTTCCATTGCTGTTGGTGCTAACTTTACTTATCATCGGTTCTTGAAATAAATCTTTTAAAGAATTGACACCTTTTTGTAACATGCTGACTGTAAATGGGTACGTAAAATTCTCAACATCTTGAACGCTCGAAATTGATTCAGCAATAATTGTGCAAAGTTTATATGACAAAATCATACATGTAGAGCAATTATATATGGATTGTTTGTAAACAAATACATATACATTTTGACTCTGAAGATGACTACCGCTAAGGTTGTTGAAACGTCAGTCAACAACAACAAAAACATTCCTTCTCAGGACTATACCAACCTGGACGATCTACATTTACAAACATGCAACGATACTCCGGGTTCAAACCATTTACTTTATATATGGATTATTGGTTTAAAATTGTCGTATATCTGAAGGCGTCTTCTTGAACGCCACACAAGTTACCCTTGAGTAAATTATATTTTTAGCTGCAAATATTTTGGTTCAACTAGTCGTACATGAAAAACAGTCTTATATATCTTTGCTAGAAACGATCTTATCATGAGAGTGTTGTAAGATACGTATGGTTTCTAAAAACGTCACCACACAGTTGTAACACTCACTGTTTAGAATGTGGCAAGTAGCAAATAAATTAATATTTGCAATTGCTTAATATTTTTATATTATCCTTTTTTGCACAGAATAGCCACAAAACAAGAGGCAACGTTTAATGGAAATTTTTCGATGATAATGTTATTTCAGCTTGGAAACCATGGATCTGGATTTCACTTTTGCAGGTTTTCATGCGTGATGATCACGCGAATTTCGCGCAGTGACTGAGATGAGCACGTGGTGTAAGTATAACTGACTAACTCCATAATAAAAATTTATAGAAATGTCGCTGTATAATTTTAAGAAAATTACTGTCGTTCCGACGGCTAAGGTAAGCAACAGCTGTTTAATTTTCAACATTTTTAACTGCGTTTTGATAGATTGTTCGACTATGTTTGTTTTAGGATTTTATCGATATTGTTTTATCAAAACACACAGAAAACACCGACTGTAATTCATAGGTTTGTCTTTTGATATGATTTTAAATTGATGAAACTTTTTAGACTGTGATAAAGTAGAAGCATATTTTGTAATATTCGTTGTCGGGCAATATAGTCGTAGATCTCGTGCAGATGGGGAACATCAAACATGTTTACAAATTTATCTTGACAAAACACGGCTGGAAGCCTGGGATGAAGGAAGAACTGTCTTGGGACTACTGAAGTTTAGCGGACACCTTCGACACTGACCCAAACCTTAACTCTATAATCCTAAGCAAAAAGCAGGCCCACTCTTTGCTTATAATTGCTTTGGGTGTCCGCTATACTGCAGTCTAGCCATTGTCTAATTTGACTTGATGTGCATAAAGTGTTGCCTGCCTTGGCAAAGGGACATTTGATCACTTTTTATCTTGGTGATAGAATAATGTTCAATATCTGGTTTTGTCAAGACAAGTTGAAGGATTTTATTAACTCCTGATCATCTTTGATTATTTAACCCTTCACTTTACAGTGTTGCCATATGATAGCAATTACCATTTACCAAATGAAATGTACGCAAACTTTTCAGAAAATTTGCCAAGTAAAGGGTTAGACAGGCCTTTAAAAACTACATTTGCACTTTAAGACTTGCCTGTATAAAAAATAATCCCTTACTTTCAAAATGACCAACTAAAAATTGTTCATTTGAACTGAGCTGTACAATTTGCTATGGTAATCCCAGAGAGGGAAAGTTGATAACTAAGAGAGAGAGAGAGAGAGAGAGAGAGAGAGAGGACTGGGCTATTTCTCCTTAGTGAACTATAGTGAATATGCTTCATTTATAAACAAAGTAATATACATGTGTATGATGTGTGTTTGATAATTGAGCTTTTGCAATTTGTTTCTCATTTCAGACACTATAAAATTGGTCGTATTCGACAGTTTTATATGAGAAAGATCAAGTTCACTCAGCAAAATTATCATGACAAATTGACACAGATTATAACGGATTTTCCAAGACTTCAAGTACAGTCATTTATATGTATTAAACTTCATAAAACAAATATAAGCAAAAAAGAAAATGAAACACATATACCATGGTAGATTTATTCTATAGCAGAATCATTGTTCATCCATAACCATTTATGGTTAAATACTTGATGTTTACTTTTTTTTAGGATGTTCACCCATTCTATGCTGATTTAATGAATGTTTTATATGATAAAGATCATTACAAATTAGCTCTTGGACAAATCAATACTGCTAGGCATCTGATTGACAAGTAAGCAAGTTTAGTAACTAGGTGGCATTTTTTACAACTAATATTTTTCTTACATTGTGAGAAATTCATTCATGCAATTCATGTCAAAATTTATTTAGTGTTGCAAAAGATTACATTCGATTAATGAAATATGGTGATTCATTGTACCGCTGTAAACAACTTAAGCGTGCAGCACTAGGAAGGTATGAAGAATTAGCAAATATCATTTAAACAATAGTTGTTCAAAATAAACATTAAATATTGTGTGATTTATTATACAATTTATTTATTTTGTTTACCTTTCAGAATGTGTACTATCATGAAGAAACAAAAGCAAAGTTTGGAGTATCTAGAACAAGGTTGTGGCAATGAACCATTGTCATATTGCAAATACACATTTACCAAGCTAAATTTAAAATTTGTTTTCAGTTAGTCAGCATTTGTCTAGATTGCCAAGCATTGATCCAAATACAAGAACATTGTTAATTTCGGGTAGGTTATTGTCATTATTGTAATTTGAAACTCCTCAGATTGAATAATGAGTTACCAAGGTTACCAAATATAGCTAAGAAAAGTCAGAACTGACTGGTTAAAATATTTATGTCATATTGAAATTTTTGTACTCTTTGCAGTTTCCCAAATGTTGGTAAATCAAGTTTTATAAACAAGGTAGACATGCAATTTTTCAGGACTTGCAAGTTTCAGTGCAGTTTTCTGTAGAATGATAAAGTTTGAGGGCCACACAATGAAAACAGTTTTAAACTTTTAGATAACTTCGAGCAGATGTTGAAGTTCAGCCATATGCTTTTACAACAAAGTCATTATTTGTGGGTCATACTGACTATAAATACTTGAGGTGGCAGGTAACATTGGCTTAATTAATAATATTTCCTGTTTTGCAAGCTAATGATTTTAAAATGGAAATCCAAATTACTTGTAGGTTGTTGATACTCCTGGAATCTTAGATCATTCTCTTGAAGATCGTAACACCATTGAAATGCAGGTGATTGCAAGAAGAGTTCATTCAATTGATCAATGAATGCAACATATGTAGATGATGTGTTGGTTTAATTACCAATGTTGCTGTGAATTGACTACAGTTGTGAAAATATCCTCTTGAATTTTTATGTATTTGTTCAGGCTATAACAGCCCTGGCACATATCGAGCTGCAGTTCTTTACTTTATGGATCTATCTGAACAATGTGGTCATACTATTGAAGAACAAATTGATTTATTTACAAATATCAAACCTTTGTTTGTGAACAAACCAATAATTGCTGTGATGAATAAACTGACATTATCCGTCCTGATGAATTGTCTGATGAAAACAAAGAACGCTTGCTTATTTCAAGACTGAAGGTAACTTTCCAATTGGCATTAGAATATTTATTTTCAATAAACAGTTTTTACCGTAAACGACAACTTTTTTCAATTTTTATTGCAAACATGTTTGACAAACTTATGCCATCTTCATTGCGGTATAATGAATGAATATTTGAATCGAGTTAATATAAAGTAAATTTAAAAAAGTTGTCGTCTACGTTAAATGCATCATTTTAATCGTGCAATTTCGAAATTATGAAACAGTTTTTTACATGCATTTCATTAAACAGCGCTGTAAACGTTTCATTTAAACCAACATTGTTGCACAACGTCACTCCTTTTAAGTTTGAGTTTGTTTTGAACCATAAAGTAACACACAAGCTACAAAATAGAATTTCTGTTACTCCATTGTTCATTTTCTTTAGGCATTCCAACCGTGTGCACGAGTACAGTTACAGAAGAGGGAATAATGGATCTCAAAACAGAGGCATGCGAACAACTTCTTGCTTTGCGTATCGAAGCAAAAATCAAAAAGTAAAAAGCTGATGGTATTCTCAATCGTATTCATGTTGCTTTGCCAACTCAACGTGACGTTAAAGAGCGACCTCCTTGTATACCTGAGGCGGTATTGAACCGTAAGAAAGAAATGGAAACAGATGTTGGTCCAAAGAAGAAATTGGCGAAGGAACTCGAACAAGAACTGGGTGATGATTATGAGATGAATTTACAAGAACATTGGATCTTAGAAAATGAGGATGAGAAGACTGATTTAGTTCCAGAAATTTATCTTGGAAAAAATATTTCCGATTTTATTGATCCGGATATTATGAAGGTGTGTTGCGTTCTGTGATTTGAGGCAGATTATATTGATGAATGTTGGCGATTTGATCACTCCAGATATTATATAGATGTGCTTAGTGTGTAATTTAGTATTAATAGTTTGGCGATTTGCTTTCATTGATATTATTTATTTACTCACAATATTCAAATATATGTTTTTGTTTTGTGACGACTTGATGCAGTTTGCTGAACGTCTCATGTCTATTATCAAATTTCCATTGTTGATTTATTTGCTGTTTACTATGTAATTTTTATCTATTTTTATAGAAACTTGAAGAACTTGAACGAGAAGAAGAACTTCGTGAAGCTGCTGGTGAATACAATAGCGACATGGTAATATATTTGTCCGTAAACTTTGTTTTATTTCAAAGATTAAAATTGTTTTCCTAATTGTCCAGCTGTTTTACGTCTACGTATATGCTAAATCAAACAATTTCTTTTTTGGCAGGAAGAAGATGACGAAGAAACAAAAGAAATCAAAAAGCAAGCGGCCGAGTAAGATTTTCATCGATTATATTAACAGAAAGTAGGCTCGAGATAATTTATAGCTATATTTTAACAAATTGTGTATCGTTTTTCTTTTGAAGCAAAACTATCTCGTTTGACTTCTTATGTTTTGTCTTTTGCAGAATTCGAAAGAAAAAGAAACTGATTGTTCAAGAACATCGTCTTAAAAAGACATCTAACCATGCAAAGCTTCCTCAAAATCTACGGGCTAAGGTTTGCTTTTCAGACACGTTTCGTGTGGTGAACGGATAACAGTAATTTAGCCGTTAACTTTGTCTTACATGTTTCGAGTTTCTTGTCAAATGTTCTTACAGACTGACCAACTGTTTGTACGTTAATTTAGAGGACAATGTGACTTGTCGTATCATTTTGTTGAATTAGATTTTGTCATAATCTAGTCGCTTTCCACAAGAGCGAGAAGACAAAGTTTGGCGTCTGATTATATGGAATGGGATAGCGAACAAGATGAATCTATGGTACTTGTGTTAAGGCGTATTTTTTTTTCTTAACCCTTCTCCTCTCTAATCATAATAGAAATTATTTATGTAATAGGATCTGTATTGACATTGGTTAAATTAAGTATTATTTTTGATTAATCAAAGGAAACTGGTGAAGGACGAACAGCGAGATCACGTACTCCAGCTAGCCGTAAAAGAAAACGAGAAGATACGCTTAGCATTGCACGTAGCAAATCAAAACAACCTAGAGATCAATCTGGTATTGTTAACCCTGAGGTATGTATAACAAGTCCAATGTACCACTCTCTCGTTATTTTTGTGAATTGACAAATTTTGTGTTTTTTTCTTAGAAAAGAAAAAGCGAAGAAAGAAAATGATGAAAACATCTCAAAGAAATATGAACAGAATGGGCAAAGCTGGTGAGTATATTTTCATACGTTGATTTCATGGCGATTTTCCTGTAGTCTTTAATACGTACATTATTAGAATGTTGATGTATGCTTATTTTAAGGTGAGTCCGACCGTCATATTGGAAGCAAAAAGCCCAAACATATGTTCGCTGGAAAACGAAAAGGTGGAAAAACTCAGAGAAGATAAAGTCGTTATTTTAATTTTTTACTTTAAAAGTAATTTATTAACCAAACGCAATTCTGAATGCAATGAAAGTTTTTCAATGAAACGTAATTATATATTATTAACTGCTTGCAGGAATTATTTGGTTTACATGCAACTACATTTTGATCTATATCATATTTAGTGTTAGGAATTTTGGTGATTTTGTGTTGACGCATTTTCGTTTGGCTGATTTTATCAAGTTTCTTGTTTCTCGTTTGTAAAGTTGGCGATTTGACTGTGAATGTCATGACTAGCGTGCTTTAGTTAATGCAGTCATGAGTCTTTCTGTTGATAAAGTGTGCTCTTTGAGTAGTTCCATTATGAGTTGAAAGGTGGAGTAGAGTAAGACAGATGATGAATACGTAGCTAGCCAATACCTAAAGTTGCCCTTGCTAACATGTAGATACGTATGTAGTCCATTCAGTAGTGATAAAAGGTAGTTAAAAATTATACTTGGTTGCTAGTAAGGTTTGCCTGCTGCGCTCCGAGTGCAAATAGTTTCAAGAACGCATGTGTCTCGTTTTTAATGGAAAATTAAAATGGTCCACGTTTTGTGCTTTAAAATTATCCTTTTTACTAAGCTATCCATTTATCATTCAATGTTGATTAGTGGAATGCATGTATTAAAGTTACATCACTAGTGGTAGTATTTCGTACGTTGTTTGGAACCGTAGCAGGACTTTATTTGGGGGTGCAAATCCTCTCAAAAAAGCCACATGTTATGCACGCACTATTTGATGTTAACATTTGTATTCTCAATACAGAAAGACAATAATTTGGGAGATTTTGTGGGGTGCCTCCTTGGCATAAATGCTTGTTGACTGTTTAGTTTGGTTGAATTGGTGGTTATCTTTATTGCATTTATATAACAACTTTATCTTTATTTCATTTAAAATGTATAAAAACTTTAGTTTAATTGAGAGACCTCTTTGCGTAACTAGTTGTAAAAACAGCGGATATATTTATTATTTATGTCTCTTTAGAGACAATTGAAGGAGTGGTTACATTAGTGCTTTTACACAATTTATTTGTTTTGATTCATTGATTCAAACGTTGATTGTTTGATTTGGAATGTGTTTTTGTTAGTAATCAAAAATTTTTTTCAACACAGAACTGAGTGTGGTATTTGGGTAAAAACTTGATTGGCATATTCTCCGATACGATATATTTTTCAATTGAAAGACAAGATTAAACTGGCCTGCTGGCGAACAATTGAGTTTCCGGTTTTCTTGCAAAATTTGACATGTGTCTGCCGCGTTCAGCTTGTAAACGTTGGTCGCCCAAAAGATTTTCTTCTTTCATTGATTATTGGATAGCCAAAACCAGCGAAGAGCTTGGTTTGTAGAAAGGTACATAACATTTTTCTTTCACGCGTTTTAAGTTTTGTTTAGTTTGTAATCGTCGTCGACACATCGAAATCGTCGTTTGTTTTGGGTGATTTGATCTTATGATCATTGAAGTAACAATAATATTTTAGGTCTTTCAAGATTTCATACTGATATATATTGTCTTTAAAGCAAACTTTTTCACAGTTGTTTAGAGTAAACGAACTTCAAAATTTGCGATAATCGTCAATGTGGTCATAGGTCAATGAACATTTTGATTTTGACAATGATGACATTGGTTTCTTCTCGATTAATATACTTTTAAAATAACATTGAAAAGAAATTTGTCTTTACCATTTTGTACGTCTGTTGCTGTTTTCTTTCAAAATTTTCGAATAATTCTGTAACTAGTTTTATTTACATTAAATCAAATTGAGTTAAAAGACAATTGATCTCCTCAATTATGTTAAGCGAACACAAAAACTGTTCGTATTTCATTGAAAATTACTTAAATTGTTGTTATAGGAATGTTTTCACCTAGGTGTGAAACGTCAAAATGGCTGTACATGACAATTGACAACGGCAAATGATAATTGTATTAATTATAGTTTAGCATTTGTTTTACTCATGTCTCTCCTATTTTATTTCGTAGAGAAATGTCGCGTTCATATTCTCCCAAGTTAGACAGGCCAATGCCCATTTCTGTGGAAAGTATCAATTATACCGATGTTGCCCATTTCAAAGAACTTGGAAAAATGTTTCATGGCTTAAGAGAAAATGATGAACTCTGTGATATAACACTTCTTGTGAATGACAAAACCATCAAAGCTCATAAAATAATACTTTCAGCGGCAAGTCCCTATTTTAAAGCCATGTTTACAGGTGTGCAAGTCAAACCAACTGGTTGTTTAAATGTTATATTTGACAGTGAACTATATCCATATAAACTAGTGTCCTAGATTCAATTAATACTTCTTCACTGATAAATTTTATCATGAAGCACAAAGTACACAGTTGAAGTAAATCTGGTCAATTATGTTATGAAATGTAAAAAAGCTTGATGTCTTTAAAACTTTTTCAGGTGGACTATCGGAATGCAACAAAAATTGCATTACCATGCATCAGATAGATGGCAATAGTCTTGTGCAAATAATTCAATTCTTTTATACATCTGAAATAAAAATCAACAAAGAAAATGTACAGAATCTTTTGTCTGCTGCAAGCTTGCTTCAAGTCTCCAGTGTGCTTGATGGCTGTTGTGAATTCTTTAAGCGAAATTTAAGTGATGACAATTGCTTGGGTAAGTCTTTAATGATGAATGATATATTTACATGTTTTTATATGTAGAACATTGAGGTTAGTAGAGTCCTGAGAACAACTGTGGTGTTGAATGACATTTTAACTACCTTAGCAGTAGTCATCTTCACAGTCATTTATTACCATTAGGCAAGATCAAATAGTTTTTTTGTTTATTTGATATGCAAATGGTATGTATAAAGAATGCCATTTTGACAATCTGATCTTTGATTATTAGCAACATCTTCATGCTACCGCAATATTACTGAATTATCTTTTTTTTCTTTCCGTATATTTTGGTGATGGAAGCTGTGGTCGAGAGAATGCTTACATGTATATGTTTTTACACATGTTTTAGGTATTGCAAACTTTGCTGACCAACATGCATGTTCTGGTCTTCGTGAAGCTGAAAAATTTGCCAAAAGAAATTTTATAGATGTTTTACAAAATGAAGAGTTTATGCATTTAACTCAGCGCCAGCTATCAAGATTGATTTCTGATGATAATTTAAATGTGCAGTGTGAGGAACGTGTTTTTGAAGCTGTCCTAGCTTGGATAAAATTTGATCCGATAATCGTCAGGTAAGTTTCCATGGTGTGGGTCGAGATTATTTCACTAGTTTATTAAAAGTTTGAAAAACTTTTTCTGTCTTTCAAACTCTTATTTACAAATTTTTCTCTAATCTTTTTACATAACATTTTTCCTTGATAGGACCATGCAAAAGATGTAATGAAAGAAGTGAGATTTGATCTTTTATCGGCAGAATTTCTCTTCGATAGAGTTGGAAAAGAGGAAGTTATTGTTTCTGACAGATCATGCATGTAAGATTATTTGAGCAAGAAGATTTAACAGCCTATTTGCTCAATATGAACTTGTCAAAAAGACCTACGACGTCAATTATTGATATTTAATATTTTTAGATCTTATCTATTGACTGGCCTACGCAACGTAACGAATAAGACTCCTGTTTCAAAACAACGTCGACCAACATCAGATCATCAAGTCTTGTATTCTGTTGGAGGAATGAGTAGAAGAGAAGCTAGTAAAAGTGGTGAAAAATTTGATCCTAAAGAAGGAAAATGGACACCAATTTGTAAGCATTCGTGAATTTCATGGCAACCTGTAATCATACTTTTTTTTTAGCTTTCACAGTAAATCTGCTTGAGATATTAGTTGTTTTTAACAAGTTTTAATACGTATACTAGTTGATTTATTGCGCTATTCATGGTGTAATACATATGTACACATAAATAACGATGTGAACGGCTGTGAATGTACGTGAAGTTGTAAGCTGTAGTTGGGAATGCGTTTTACACAACATTTGCACGGCCCCGAAGGCCGAATCCCTCACTTCTGTAAGGCAAAAAGTTCCCTTTTTATGACGTTTTAATCGTATTTGTCCTTACTGTAGGCTCCATGAGTATCTGTCGCTGGGGAGCAAGTATGGGTTCAGTAGGACCTTATCTCTATATTTGCGGTGGTAGCGATGACTCGTCACGGTTGGATACAGTTGAAAGGTACGATCCGTACAATGACGTTTGGGTGCAATCTGAACCCATGCTCTCAAGCGAAATGGAGTTGGTGTGTGTGGTGCTGATGGTAAAGTTTATGCTATAGGTAAGTTATTGTAGTTAGTTGATGTAAAAATTAAATTTGAAGTTTGCACTATATAGCTGCTCTCTTGAAGGGCTGTTTTCAACAGTGTCGCTTGATAGATGTACATATACGTAAACCTCAAACGAAAAATAACTTTGTTGCATGTCAAGCAAACATGTGTTGGTATTCAACGAATGAAATTCAAATCATAATTGTAATTCAATGATTGTAGAAAAATTCGTTTTTGCAGTGAAAACCATTTAAATGCTTCAAAAATAAATGAATTGTATCTTAAGTTAGTTAAGCATGCTTGGTCAAATAGTTTTAGGAAGACCCATTATATTCAGTTATAATACAAGTAACAATATTTTTTATAGACTCTTTACAGAACTCTATCCCAATCCTATCCTTAGGTCTATCTCTAACCCTATCTCCTACTTATTGTAATATATCTGTACAATTAATTTACATGGTTATTTTTCGACAATTTAGGTGGCTTTGATGGCTCTATGCCATTAAATACAGTTGAATATTATGACACCCGATGTCGTTTACCAAAATGGATGAAGATGGCTTCAATGAACCAATCGAGGTTTGGTGTAGGATGCTGCGTCATGGATGGTGATGTATATGCTGTTGGGGGATCAGATGGAACAAACCTGCGAACTGTCGAAAGATATGACGCTGACTCTGGCGCTTGGAAATTACTGGCTCCAATGGTAACTGCAAGGTAAGCTTATACCAATGGCTAGTACTGCTTATTGATGGGCGATACCAAGAATATTGATTCGATTACGATACGAGCTACTTTACGCACAAAGTATTGTAGTAACGATTACTCAAATTGCTACTTATTGCGTAATACTTTTGTATGTTTTCTATTCGCTAGAAAGCCTATAGCTCATTTCTAGCTCATCCAATACAGCATATTTGAAAATCAATAGTACACTAAATACTAGTACTAAAGGGAGGAGGGGTGACTTTATTTTTGTCTAAGAACAAATTTTAATGTTTTTGTGGAGAATGTCGTGCTGACTTTAGTTTGCATCATGTTAACTTTTCGGAAGCATTCTTTTCAAATAATTCCAGACCTCACTTCAGTATTAAAGACATTTTGCTAAGGATGCATTTTTAGTGCACTTTTTATTTTGTTCATAAATTTTTGAACTAATTTCATGGTTTGACTCACAACATCTAATCTCATATCAAAGCAGCAAAAAGTGAATTATTTATTATCTAAATTAAGTTTTTCAATGTTTCAAATTCAGGTTACGTAAGTTACAAATGTCTAGTAAGTTAGGCACATTGACAAAGTACTAAAGAACAGTTACTTACAACTGTAGGAAAATGGCATGCTTTGACAGTCTGATAGTTATGTGTGTCAAATCTAATGATTTGAAAACTTGCAAAATAATTCCATGTCACATCAGGGTGTGAAATTACGGCGTGAGAGTTAGCTACCCATCGATTTACCGGCATAACCATTTTTTCTTGTACTTCCTGGATTTTCGTTTTGAAAATTAATTTGGTACCAAGAAAAGCCGTTTGGTTGAGCAAATACTCATCTTAGCCAAATGTTGTTCCGTGGACCGGTGCTATTTTGCGATCTCTTTGGCTTAGTAGTTACATGGGATATCATTACAACTAAATAAATTACTACTTTATTGATGTATTATCAAAAGATGTTTCTTACCTAGAAAACAAGTTGGAGTGGCAGCTTTAGGTGGTTACGTCTATGCAGTTGGGGGTTGTGACCACACAACAAGATTTAGCTCGAGAGCGTTATGATCCAACTAAAGATGAATGGATCGAAGTTTGTAGTATGAGTACCACGTAGCGGTTTGGGTGTAGCTGTTCTTAATGGTTTTATCTATGCTGTTGGTGGTTATGATGGAACATCATATCTTAGCTCAGTTGAAAGGTTTGTGTTATAAAGCTACTACTAACTAATCAACAAAATGTGTAATTTTCTACTCTCTGGCAAAGATTTATCTATCAAGTCTTGCCTTAACCTAAAGATAATTACTCCACAGTCAAAACATTTTTTGGCCAGAAATGACATTTTTTATAAAAAGAATCGTAATAGAAATTAGACAGTATTTTTTAATTATACTAAAATTTTCATTTTTTTCAAATATATGGGGTATTTTAGTATTTTTAATGGGGTGTCGCTGAAAATCTTAGGGTAGTTAATGTATGACAAAGTAAGGTAGTAAGGATTTATGGGCAGTAGAGTATGTAGGGCAGTTTAGCAAATGTAGTGTACAAAGTTGAAACATTGCTTAGAGAACCCAGTTCCACTGTATTACTGTCTTTACTGATTTGTTTTGCTAAAATTGAGGGATTAAAATGTTTCTTAGAGGCGAACAATTTATTTTGGGGTGATAATATCTGATAATTGGGGGTAGTATCTAATAATTGAGGGGTGTCAACTGATAATTAGGGGTGGTATCTGAAAATTGGGGGATGTTTGATAATTGGGGTGGTGTTTGATAACTGGGGGTGGCAAATGATAATTTGGGGTGGTATCTGATAAATGGGAGAGGTGTGATGATTTGGGGGTATCTGATAATTAGGGGGCATCTGATAATTAGGAGGCGACACCCACTATAAATTTTGTCTGATTGTACTCTAATTATTTTTATAGTGTACCAAAACCAAAATACCCTAGATTTTACCAAATAACTATGAAATGCACATATTTGTGAAGATGGACCTTTTAAAGCAATTGTTTGATTCTTTTACAGGATTTATTTTGATGACCATGACATTTCAAAGTATTTATTGCACTTTACTTTGCTATTAAGGTATGATCCCTTGTCTAATAAATGGTATAATTCACCACCAATTAGTCAACCACGAGACTGTGTTGCTGTATGTGTTGGTTCATTGCCACTCCAGCAGGTAGTAAGCTGACACCAACATATCAACTCAAGTAATCCAGTAATTTGTTTGGTGAGTAATTTTCTCGGTCTCGTTGAGAATGCAGTTTTCTTGTCATCTTCTAATACAGAGTATATTTTAACAGCTCTCATATTGAATAGTGATATTGTGGGATCAGGGGCGCTGGAAGCAACCATTAGCCGCAGGGGTGGCCATTTTGAAAGGGCACCTATTTTTACATTACGTTTGTGTAAAATGTTTGCCAATTTACACTTCGATGAAAGTGTCAAAGCGTGCATTAAATTTCCCCGACATCAGTTTTCCTTTCCTTTATTGTTAATGCAATTATGCAACCTTACCCATCAAATTTTATTAAGCTTGTACTTTAAAGTAGCATTTTATATTGATGGTGAAAGGCAAAAAGTCAAATGTTTTATAAAATACGTGCTGAATTACCACTAAACCACAGACACACCAGCTAACAAGACTTCAAATTAGATGAAAATTGAAGAATTTGTAAGTGGGGAACTTACATATCGGGAAATAAGACATACGTCTATTTGTTCAAAATGTAAAAAGGGTAACATTCTGCCCCTGTGCTGCCCCTGCACTACTCGGGCAGCAGGGGCAGCTGCCCCCACCACCCCTGTGGTTCCGGCACCCCTGTGTGGGATTTGTTCATACATTTAGAAAACAGATCTTTGCCAGTGGCATAACACTACATCTTCATTATCAAGTCCCCAACATATGGGGAGTTACATACAACAAAAACCTATTTTAGTGCATTTTTGAAGCATGGACATATTGTAGAATGTGGGCTTTGATAGAATTTGATATTACTTTTTACTATGTAAAGTTCTGAGGCTGATCAAGCATTATCAAAGACATATGCAATAATCATCATTAGTAAACAAACTTTTCAAAAACACTTAATTTTATTAAAATTGCTGGTGAAATGTTTTAGCCAAGTATGTAAGTAAGCCTGAAATAAAAATACATTTAAAATAGAAGAAAATGTTAATTGTAGATATGAATAATTTACAGTTTGTAAATAGTTTGAAATTGTTCAAATCATTAGTAAAACATTCTATTTACCTCAATACAATCTGTTTCTTATTAATCAAGAGGCTAGCTTGTGCTCTTCTTTAAACTAACTAACCGTTCAATTCCTACATTGTGTGTTGTTGACAAAGCAACAGTTGGGGACAAAAATCACCCCAGAAGTTAATCAGATCATTCTTCTTATATTTTTCAGTGCGTAAATATTAGGAATGAGTGGATTTGAAGATCTTTATCTTCAAATTCTGTTGTATTACTCCAACACCCCTGCATAAGTAGAAGATTTTTAGTGACAATGAAAAATTATTTTTATATATTTACATTATTTCATTGAAAGGTTATATATAACGGGGAGCAGAATACCTTGTAAAAATGCAAGCTCATCATTTTCATTTACACATGAATCTTAAGGAAAAAAATCAATGTTAGTTCAAAATCACCAGCTTGTGATCAAGCCTATGTTATAAATTCAGTTGCTTATAACTATAATAATCTTCCTAACTATTTGTCAGATATATTTCTGTTGATTATTTTTCTGCTTTGAGTCAGGCCTATGATTACGTGCAATGCAATATTTGCATACTACGATGAGATGAATTGACCAAACAGTCAGATTGGTTTTAGTTGAGAACACTTCACGAATAAGATCAAAATAGTTGTTAGCTAGGCCATTACTAGCAAATCTGGCCTGCAAAGTTTCAGTAAAGTTTACAGCATTTTCAGTGTGTTCGTTCCTTTAGAAATCTATTGTTTTTCTCATCAAGGAACACAGATAAATTTAAATAGGATGACTATGGCTTGCACTGTCACTGTTTGCAAATTCAAACAACATACCTAGGTCTTTCTTCTGAATAGTTTTCTCTTTCCTTGAGCAGTTCTTTCATAAGCCTCTTTAGCAAGATATTCCACAAACAATTCCTACGGACGAAATGATACCATAAATATGGTATCATTTTTTGTGGTATTTTACTTTGAATGGATGTTTCAGAATTTCAGTAAGCGAACCTACCGCTGCCTTACTAATCACATGTACAGATTCTTGACTTGCTAAATGTAAATCGGGATCCAATTTCATCATATTGCGCACTCTTGTCTGTGGAAATTTTGTCAACTTGAATGCACTGATTCTTTCTTCGCTACCGTCGAATTGTGACTGGATTTCGTGATCATCTTTGTTTTCGTTTACCATTTTGTTTTTGGAGACATTCACCTTCGACCTTCGACTTGAAGCGCCAACCAGAAAGCGCCAGAGCAAAAGAGCAAAGCACCAACAATGAGTGCATCATGGTATACTGGATGATAACTTCCATAGAGAATGCCCTGTGATTGGATGAAGCCAAAGTTCTGTCAGAGATTGATTACTCCTCCCCAAAAAACAACAGGGCGAGAGCAGCAGCGTTTTTGTTTGAAGCGTGGGCGTTCTCTATAAGCGGATCTTTTACTTTTCAATTTCTTCAAGTTACAGGTTGTATATATTATAACAAAACATAAACTGCGTGCAAATCTTTTAAAAATTAAAAAATTCTATCGCATAAAGATGGCGGTATGCGTGAATAATACTGTTTAGCGTGAAAATGCCGTAAACTTTTGCCTTGCCGGCTCTGCGATGAAATGCGTGACTTTAACTGTTTGGCGTGAAAATAAAATAAACACTATAAATCGCGCAATTGCACACATTTTCACGTCAAGAATTTAATTCGCGCATTTTCACACATTTCCACGCATTTCTACACATTTTCACGCAAAGACTATAATTCACGCATTTCATGCAAAATATATAATTTGCACGTTTTTTCACATTTTCACCATGAGACTCACGCATTTTTAAACATTTTCAGGCAAAAAATATAATTTACACATATTATTCCCACTTATCTAAATCTAAATGAATTTCACATTTTTTATTTTCACCAAAGTATAATTCACAGATTTTCACACATTTTCATGGAGTATACTTCGTGTATTTTCATACATTTTCATGCCAAACACTAAACTTCGTGCATTTTCACGCATTTTATGCCAAAGAAAATAGTTCATGCATTTTCACACATTTTCATGCCAAAGACTATAGTTCACGCGTTTTCATGCCAAACGACTATAGTTCACGCGTTTTCATGCCAAACGTTTTCATATAGTTCACGCGTTTTCATATCAAAGACTACGATTCACGCATTTTATGACAAAGACTAAAGTTAACGCATTTTCATGACAAAGACTATAGTTCACGCAATTTCATGACAAAGACTATAGTTAACGCATTTACATGACAAAGACCAAAGTTAACGTATTTTTATGACAAAGACTATTTAGACTATGACAAAGACTATGACATTTTTATGACAAAGACTATTAGACTATAGTTCACACATTTTCATATCAACGACTATACTTCATGGATTTTCACACATTTTCATACCAAACGACAATAGTTCACGCGTTTTCATGCCAAACGTTTTCATATAGTTCACGCGTTTTCATATCAAAGACTACGGTTCACGCATTTTCATGACAAAGACTAAAGTTAACGCATTTACATGACAAAGACTAAAGTTAACGTATTTTTATGACAAAGACTATTTAGACTATGACAAAGACTATGACATTTTTATGACAAAGACTATTAGACTATAGTTCACACATTTTCATATCAAAGATTATACTTCATGGATTTTCACACATTTTTCATATCGACTATAGTTCACGCGTTTTCATGCCAAACGTTTTCATATAGTTCACGCGTTTTCATATCAAAGACTACGGTTCACGCATTTTCATGACAAAGACTAAAGTTAACGCATTTTCATGACAAACACTATAGTTCACGCAATTTCATGACAAAGACTATAGTTAACGCATTTACATGACAAAGACTAAAGTTAACGTATTTTTATGACAAAGACTATTTAGACTATGACAAAGACTATGACATTTTTATGACAAAGACTATTAGACTATAGTTCACACATTTTCATATCAAAGATTATACTTCATGGATTTTCACACATTTTCATATCAAAGACTACGGTTCATGCATTTTCAAACATTTTGATTCCAAAGACTATAGTTCATGCATTTTCACATATTTTCATGCCAAAGACTATAGTTCATAAATTTACACATTTTCATGACAAAGACTATAGTTCACGCACTTTTATGACAAAGACTATAGTTCACACATTTTCATGACAAAGTCTATTTTCAAGCATTTTGACATATTTCTATGCCAAAGACTATACTTCATGCATTTTGCACATTTTCATACCAAAGACTATAGTTCATGCATTTTCACACATTTTCATGGCAAAGACTATAAATCATGATTTTAACACATTTTCAAGGCAAGACAATAATTCATGCACTTTTAAGCCAAAGACTATAGTTCATGATTTTCACGCACTTTCATGCCAAAGACAATAGTTTATGATTTTCACACATTTTCATGCCAAAGAATATAGTTCACGATTTTCAGGCATTTTCATGCCAAAGACTATTGGTCGTGATTTTAACACATTTTCATGCCAAAGACTATAAATCATGATTTTCACACATTTTCATGCCAAAGACGATAGTTCATGATTTTCACACATTTTCATGCCAAAGACTATAGCTCATGATTTTCACACATTTTCATGCCTATGACTGTAATTTATGATTTTAACATATTTTCATACCAAAGACTATTGGACATGATTTTCACACATTTTCATGCCAATGACTATAGTTCATGATTTTAACACATTTTCATGCCAAAGACTATAAATCATGATTTTCACACATTTTCATGTCAAAGACTATAGTTCATGATTTTAACACATTTTTATGCCAAAGACTATAGTTCATGATTTTAACACATTTTTATGCCAAAGACTATAAATCATGATTTTCACACATTTTCATGCAAAAGACGATAGTTCATGATTTTCACACATTTTCATACCAAAGACTGTAGTATATGATTTTCATATATTTTCATGCCAAAGACTATAAATCATGATTTTTACATTTTTCATGCTTAAGTCTATAGTTCATGCATTTTAAACATTTTCATGTTAGAGACTATAGTTCATGCATTTTCAAACATTTTATGCCAAAGTCTATAGATCACGCATTTTGTGCCAAAGATTATACTTCACGCATTTTCATAGCAAAGAATATAGTTCACGCGAGTTTTGTGCCAAAGATTATACTTCACGCATTTTCATAGCAAAGAATATAGTTCATTCATTATCACGCATTTTCATGCTTAAGTCAATAGTTCATGCATTTTCAAACATTTTCATGTTAAAAACTATAGTTCATGCATTTTCACGCATTTTCATGGCAAAAATATAGCCCAAGGCATTTTCACACATTTTCATGCCAAACACTATAGTTCATGCATTTTCAATAATTTTTATGCCAAAGGCTTTTGTTCATGCATTTTTAAACATTTTCATGGCAAAGACTATAGTTCAAGCATTTTAAAACATTTTCATCTCAAAGTCTATACTTCATAAATTTTCACACATTTTCATGCCAAAGACTATAGTTCAAGCAGTTTTATACCAAAGACTATAATTCATGCTTTTTCACACATTTTTAAGCCAAAGACTTTAGTTCATGCATTTCCACCTATTTTTATGCCAAAGACTATAGTTCATGATTTTAACATATTTTCATGGCAAAGACTATAGTTTATGATTTTCACAGATTTTCATGCCAATGACTATAATTTATGATTTTCACAAACTTTTATGCCAAAGACTATAGTTCATGATTTTTACACATTTTCATGCCTAAGACTATAAATCATGATTTTCACACACTTTCATGCAAAAGACGATAGTTCATGATTTTCACACATCTTCTTGCCAAAGACTGTAGTTGATGATTTTCATACATTTTCCTGCCAAAGACACTTGGTCATGACTTTCACACATTTTCATGCCAAAGACTATAGTTAATGATTTTTACACATTTTCATGCCAAAGACTGTAGTTGATGATTTTCATATATTTTCATGCCAAAGACTACAGTTCATGATTTTAACACATTTTCATGCCAAAGACTATAAATCATGATTTTTACACATTTTCATGCCAAAGACTATAAATCATGATTTTCACACATCTTCTTGCCAAAGACTGTAGTTGATGATTTTCATACATTTTCCTGCCAAAGACTCTTGGTCATGACTTTCACACATTTTCATGCCAAAGACTATAGTTAATGATTTTTACACATTTTCATGCCAAAGACTGTAGTTGATGATTTTCATATATTTTCATGCCAAAGACTATAGTTCATGATTTTAACACATTTTCATGCCAAAGACTATAAATCATGATTTGCAGACATTTTCATGCAAAAGACGATAGTTTATGATTTTCACTCATTTTCATGCCAAAGACTGTAGTTGATGATTTTCACACATTTTCATGCAAAAGACGAGAGTTCATGATTTTAACACATTTTAATGGCAAAGACTATAAATCATGATTTTTACACATTTTTATGCCAAAGACTGTAGTTAATGATTTTCACAGATTTTCATGGCAAAGACGATAGTTCATGATTTTTAAGCATTTTCCTGCCAAAGACTCTTAGTCATGACTTTCACACATTTTCATGCCAAAGACAATAGTTCATGTATATTCATGCCAAAGCCTGTAGTTGATGATTTTCATATATTTTCATGCCAAAGACTCTTGGTCATGATTTTCACACATTTTCATGCAGAAGACGAGAGTTCATGATTTTAACACATTTTAATGAAAAAGACTATAAATCATGATTTTTACACATTTTTATGCCAAAGACTGTAGTTAATGATTTTCACAGATTTTCATGCCAAAGACGATAGTTAATGATTTTTACACATTTTCATGCCAAAGACTATAAATCATGATTTTAACACATTTTAATGGCAAAGACTGTAGTTAATGATTTTCATATATTTTCATGCCAAAGACTATAAATCATGAATTTTACATATTTTCATGCCAAAGACTATATTTCATGATTTTCACACATTTTCATGCCAAAGACTTTAGTTCATGCATTTTCAAATATTTTCATGTTAATGACTATAGTTCATGCATTTTTACGCATTTTCATAACAAAGGCTGTAGTTGATGATTTTCATACATTTTAATGCCAAAGACTATAGTTCACGATTTTAACACATTTTCATGCCAAAGACTATGGCTCATGATTTTCACACATATTCATGCCAAAGACTGTAGTTGATGATTTTCACACATTTTCATGCAAAAGACGAGAGTTCATGA